GTGCTCTAAGAGGGGGCACAGGGTGGCCGGATGGGTGGGGGGATTGAGGATCTGGGCTGTGTGTGGGGATCCGGGCTGGGATGGATGCCCTCTGATGGAGGGAGGGGGGCGTGGAGTAGGGGCCGCGAGCAGGGGGTGGAATCCTGCTTGGGTGCCCGTGACCGGCTGCTGGGGGGGTGGGAATGAGCCGGACTCCAGCAGGGTCTGTTCACACCAGCTGAGGATCCAGTCCATGGTCCCATCAAACGGGCAGGCCCCTAAGGGGAACAGGAGGGGGGGTGCACGAGGGGTCCCTGAGTCTAGAGGGGATAAAGTGTGTGTGGGGGAACATGGCCTCACCATCTCCTTGGATGGATCCAGGTCCCATTTTAGTCAAATCAACCCCCACCCCCCGCCCGTGCTACGTTCCAGTTTGGGGCCGTGTGTGTCCTGTCTGTGGGGCCCGAGCTGCAGGCTGGGATCTGAGCAGCAGAGCTGGTGGGGGGGGGGAGTGGCAGGTTGGGATTGAGGGGGGAGTCACTGAGCTCTGGGGGGAGCCCAAGGCTCTGCTAGCAGGGGGATGGGGGTTGAGCCCAGGGTTGGGGGGGGGAAGGAGAATTTCACCCCTCCCCTTCCCAGGCTGGCATCGCCCCCCGCTCCAGTCTAATTAAGATCTCTTGACGAGTCCCCGTGCTTGGTTAATCACCTTTCGTTCCCCGAGGAGGGACTGGGATGCCAGCCAAGCGACATGCCATTATTCTGCCTGAGAGCATCCTCCTGGGCACCCTGCCCGCTGCTGCCAACGCCCCCCCCCGAGTTGGGACCGGGTCTGTCTGCAGACAGTGACGGAGCAGACCTTCGGGCCTGCCCACCCGCCTCCCGGGGGCTGGCAGTGCCCTCTGAGTCAGCTGGCACACAGGCTGCCTGCCCACCCTGCTTTGCCCGAGGGGGAGGGGGGCGGATAGCATGGAGCACAGAGCTCCAGCTAGCAGAGAGGGAGGGGGATGGGGGGAGTGGGGGCGGGTCACTGCAATGGAAAGAGAGACATCCCCCCCCCCCCGTGTAAGCCAAAAGCTGCCCCTTACCTTGTGCCCTTGCTGAGCTCCTGATCTGACTCCAAAGCACATTGCCCTGGGGGGAGGGGTGCCCCTGTCCTCCCCCCTCCCCCCAGCATCCTGTAATCTCTCAGCGTGTGAGCCCCGCCAGGATGCACCCCAGGGCTGAGGGAGCTGTGAGGGGGTCTGGGAGTGCTGGGTGACCGGGGCGGGAGCATGGCTTCCAGGTCTCTGTATCGCTGTGATGGCGGAGGGGGCTCAGGCCTAGGCTGGGGGTCTCCATTTCCCCCTTCCCACCCATGCCAGGGGCTCTGTCTGATTATGATTTGGGGGAGGGGTAAATCATTCGGCGTGTCAACTCTTGCTAGACTCTTGGGAGGATAAGCAGAGCTGAGGTGGGTTATTAGCCTTTAACAGCATCATCAACCAGTTCTTTGAGTTACAGAAACTACAGAGGTGCTTGCGGCTTTGCTCATCAGGCGGCAGGAGCTCCATGTGTCCCCCACGGTCCCCCCCTTTTGGTTTTCTTCTGCCCCCCCTCCCCCCCCAAACCAATAAGGGTCTGGCCACAGGAGCCTAAAGCATTGCCTGCCGTTTTGGAATTGACCAGATGCAGCCGTCAAGAACTATTTATTTATTGTGTGGCAGACGGAGAAACTCCATCAAGCTGAGTGCATGGCCCTGCAAACTCAGTCAATTGTTCCCATCTGCGTGCTGGGTTCTGGGCCTCCCCGCACTGCCCCCCAGAGGGCTGTGCCAGGGTGGGGATATGAGGTATGGGGCACATTGGCTGTAACTCTCGTCAGGTCTCGAGGGTGCTTTGCAAGGCTCCTCACTCTCATCTCATGGATGGGGAAACTGAGGCACTGAGTGGGGGAAGCCATGGAGTTGGGAAGTGAACCCAGGAGTCCTGCTGCCCTTTGTCTTGCTTTGACCAGGTGTGACAGCCCCTTAGGTGGCTCTGGTGGTCGTGGGAGGTGAGAGGGGACTCTCCCTCAGATGCTCCCGGCATAGCTGAGATTGGGTGAGCCGGGCGGGGGACTCTGAAATAGGCCAGAAGTCGTGGGCTATGCCAGGTTAGCCTGGTGGTTCCCCATCCCCCTGGGCATCCTGCGATCCTTGCGCTTTCCTGTCCCAAAACCTGGCCCCGCAGCTCCTTTGCAGTGGTGATCACCGGCCTCCCCCTTGTTCCCAGTGCGATTCCTCCACCGAGCAGAGCACCCTGCCCTGCAGCCCCATGCTGGCCATGGCGGGCAGAGAACAGCCCTGGGCCTGCCCATGACGGGCGCTGGGACCCCCGGCCCAAACCTTGGAGCTCCCGCCCCTCCTCTGCAGCAGCCCTGGGGTCCCTGGGTGGGACAGAGGTGGGAGCGGGTACAGCCGAGGCAGACGTGGGCTCTGGCATCCACGGGGGCCGTTGCAGCAGGGCTGCCAAGCCCATGCCGGGGACTGCGCCAGACCTTGAATAAATGAAGGGCGAGATACCGCTCCGAGCCGGTGGAGGGATGGATCTGGGTGCCAGGCTCATTCGGAGCTGGTCTGAAACCTCAGCCCCAGCAAGTGATTATTTCATGCTACCCTCGCGTCAGCCGCTGTGGCTGTGTCTGGCTTGTTATCCTGTGGCAGTTGTGTCTGTGCCCCCAATAACCCCCCCGCCCGACAGGATCAGCCCTGCTCAGCTGTGTGTCACCAGCCCTGTACTGGCAGCAGCTCATGGGGATTCCCCCTTAGCTCAAATGGCGCAGGGCTCGGCTCATGGAAAGGTCTCCCCCGACACAGCCAGCAGCAAGGCCCGGATCTGTGCCGACAGCGACGTGATGCCCCACGTGGCGCCTGCCTTGGGGTGCGGCGGGGGGTTCAAAGCACTGAACAGACACAGGTTCGCTCTTCACGCTGGCAGCTCCTTGGGCACCAGCACAGCTGAGGTTGGACCCCAGGCATCCTGACTCCCAGGCCTGCGCCTCCCCCCTCGCTGGCTGCTTGCACCCCAGATCCCGTGACGCTGCGGGCGAGCGGGTGATCTCCACGCCGGGTCCCTCGATCCCCGCTCAGACAGGGCCTCGGGGAGCGAGGCCTCAGCCAGATCTAGAACAGCTGGATTCCTGGCAATTAGCTCCGGAGCTGGGGCCTCGGCCGGCTGCCGGCCGCCCCGGGCTCTGTGTGTGTGTCAGGTCCTGGCCATGGCTAATCGCCTTGTGCTTGGTGTCTCTCCTGGTTTATTACCCCAGCCGGGCGGCTGGGGGAGTTGGGGACCCACGTGCAGCAGTGCTGAACTTACCATATGTTCCCTCTCCCTGCGCCGGGGGGGGAGACAGGAGACTCGGGGCCTTTGGGAAGCAGGGAGGGGCAGTCACTGGGCTGGGGAGATCCTGCACCCCAAGGGATGTCGGGGGGAGGGAGGCTGTCATAGTGGGGCTGGAGAAAGGCATATGGAAAAGGGAGGGGCCGTGAATGTGGGTGTGGCTAAGGGGTGGAGGTGGAGCTATGGGCCCAGCCTTGTCCCAAAGGGTTTTAACCCTTGGTTGAGATGAAAAAGGGAGGAGCCAGTGGAAGCGATGGGGGTGTGGCTATGAGATGTGGGGGTGGAGCCATGGGTGGGGGTGGGGCTGGGGCTGGGGCTGTCCGTGGGATTGCCTTGTCCCTGGCAGGTATAGCTGGTCTCCTAAAGGTTCAGAGCTGGATCCTAGCACCTGCCTCAGCTCCCAGAGAGGTGAGAGCCCCAGCCCAATCTGGGGTGGAAAATGCGTGGGGCTGAGTCCCTGGCCTGCTCTGGGGTGCTGCAAGCGCTAAGATCCCAGCTGGCCCGTGGGCACATGCTGGGGGGGGGGGCGGGGGAGTCCCTGCAGCTCCTAATTTCTGACATAGATCAGGCTGTACCTCGCAAGCAGGGGGCTGAGGAGGACAGGGATGGGGTGTGGGGTGCAAGCAGGGGTGCAAGCGACTGAGGGGTGCAAACAGGGGGTGCAAGGGACCTGCTAACCCATTCCTCTGTGGAGGGGGGAAGGGAGAGGCCTTTGCAGCGGAGGGAGGGCTGGCGCCTCCCCAACGTCACCACGTGGGGTTTATTTTGCCCCCCAGCCCGCAGCCCCCTGCCCTCACGCTGGCTTTGCGGGGAGGGGGATTAACAGATTAAACAAAACCGTCTTCAAACCCAGATTACGGCTTTTGCCGGCGGAGGCTGGCGGGGGGGATTCCGGGCCGGAGAGCAGGATTCAGAGCCATGGCTGGTAGTGGGTCTACCCGCCCTGGGGTTACTGGATCAGTAGCTCAAAGAGGTCGGGGGGGCGGGGGGGGACACTCTGCGTAGCCCTGGCGGGCTCCATGGCCTGGTGCCTGGGGCTGGCACATCTCACACACGCCCCCCCCAGCACCCGCCTATGTGCCTCAGTGCAAGGACCCCCCCCCAGGATGAGAAGGGAGCTTGGCCTCCATGGCCCATTTGGTCCCCAGGCAACAAGGGGGGCAGCTGGCACCGGCTGTGGTGCTGGTGGGAGGCTCCATGGCTCATTTCCATCCCCCCCGCCTTCCCCCACAAATTGCTCCAGGCCATTCACCCCCCCCCCCCCCACCATGAACGCTTGAAGGCTGGATTTCCCAGCTGGGCACTGATGCCCCTGGGGCCTGTTCCTGGGGGATCCTGGCAGGATGCAGCCCCGGGAGGAGGTCGCAGAGAGAGGGAGCTGGGCTCATGGGGGAGGGATAATCTGAGGGGTCTGGGTGGCTCCCCCCCCCCCATACACACTTCCCCAAGGCTCTGCGGAAGGGAGCCTGGCACCTGAGATGGACCCATGGGGAATGGTGCCACGCTGGATGGCGAGGGGAAGAAAATGGGGCGGGGGGGGCACTCAGGATCACTCCAGATTGGACCCACTTCTGTGTGCAGGGTGGGGTAGGGGGCCAGCAGTCAGAGCCCCCCCCCCCCCCCCGTGACGCTCCTCGGGTCTCTGCTCTGCTCCCCCCCGGCAGATGCAGAGGCTTAAGCGCTCCCTGTCCCTCAAGACCATCCTGCGTAGCAAGAGCGTGGAGAACTTCTTCCTGCGATCCAACAGCGAGCTCACACTCCCCTGCGAGGTGCTGCTCAGCCCCCCAACGCCCTTGCCGCCCCCGTCCCCCCCGCCGATGCCCACCGAGGCCGTCCTGCCCCGGGCCGAGCGGTCGCCCATCGCCTGCCACCAGACCCTGGCGCCCCTCAAGCCCCTGCGAACACACAGCTTCCAGGAGCACGTCTTCAAGAAGCACAGCCCGTGCCAGATGTGCCGCCAGCTCATCGTAGGTGGGTGCCGCGGGCCCCTCGCTCCCAGGGGAAGGGACGTGCTGCTACTCCGGCCCCCGGGTTCCCCCCTCTGCCGGTGCCCCGCGATCCCAGCCCCCCTGCTTTCCCAGCCAGCCTGGGCTCCCCCATCCCCACCCAGCTCCGCCCCTCAATCCCAGCCCACAGCCCCCCAGCTTTCCCAGCCTGGGCTCCCCCATCCAGCTCGGCCTCCGCCCCTCGATCTCAGCTCAGCCCCCTGCTTTCCCAGCCTGGGCTCCCCCATCCCCACCCAGCTCTGCTGATGCCCCTTAATCCTGCCCTGAAGCCCCCCTGCCATTCCAGCTCTGAGCTTCATTCCTCTCCCTCCTTGACCTTGCAGAGAGGGTGCCCTCTGGGTGGGGCTCTTTCTGACAACCCCCTCCCCACAAGGCACACAGGAAAGCCTAACAGACTGCGTTCCTGCCCTTTCCTTCCCGGCAAGGTCCGTCTCTGCTCCGAATCCTGGTCGCCCTCGTGCCCCTCCCACAGCGAGACCCTGCGGGGAGTTTTCTAAATGCTTCCCCTGCCCCACGCCCACCCCCGAGCCTCTCTCACTGCCCCCTCTGCGTGCTCGGTGTCTTGCAGGCAATTCGAAGCAAGGCCTGCGGTGTAAAACGTGCAAGGTTAGCGTGCACCTGTGGTGCTCGGAGGAGGTCTCGCACCAGCACTGTCCCGGCAAGACGGTAAGCGCCCACCGAGCTGTCCCGGGGCGGGGGGGGGGCATCACCCTCCTCTGCCGTGTCCCACTCCCTGGCGGGAGGGTAGGCGGGTGCAGGCCACTGCTGTCCGGAGCATCACGCACACGCGTGCCCTTCCGCAGACCTGGAACGCTACCGCCCCCTGCTGGCAGCAGCGCTTGCCAAGTGCGGGGTGCTGCCGTGGCTCAGCTGGGCCAGGGTTTGCGCTCTGGGAGCTCGAGTCCTGACTCCTAGTCCTGCAGTCACCCCCGTGTGCCTGGTGGTATCTGTAGGGCCCCTTGGGGGGCGGGGGTAAGTGAGGCTGCTCTGGAGGTGCCTCTGAGTCTGGGCTACCACAGCAGTGGGGTGGGTGACCCGCTGGCTATGGGGCCACAGGCGGACCGAGGGGCTTGTCCCCCACCCCCATTTCTCTCCCTCTTTCCTTCCTCTCCTGCCAGGCCACCTCCTTCCGACGCAACTTCAGCTCCCCTCTCCTGGTGCAGGAGCATCAGCAGGGCAGCTCCAAGGAGTCACCCCCTGCAGGTGAGACCCCCCTGCCCCTGTCCCACTGGATAGTGTGTGTGGGGGAGAGGGGGGGGCCTCAGCCATACGAATCCTCAGAGTCCCTTTATCTGGATCCACCAAATGCCAGCTGCAGCAGGGGGGGCGTGACCGGCCCTGGGGAGGGGTCTCTGGGGGTGGTGCTGGAGCAGTAGGGGGGACCCCAGGGATGTTCTTGGGGTACTGATCCCTTCGGGGGGAAGGGAGGGGGATTACAGATAGAGTGACAAGAGAGCAAGCGTAAAAAATCAAGATAGGGATGGAGGGGTAATAGGCACTGATATAAGACAAAGCCCCAGATATTGGAACTGGCCCTATAAAATCGGGACATTGGTCACCCTACCTGCAGCCCTTGCAAGGAGAGAGGGTTAAGCGGATCCTGGGATCATCTGTGGAAAGCTCCTCCCCCTTATGTAGCAAGCTCCTCCCCCTCGTGCAGGGTCTCCCAGCACATGGTTGGGTTACAAGCTGGCTCGGGATCCCTGACCCTTCCCCATCCCATTCCCCCCCGCCGTCTCCACAGGTCCCAGCGGGAAGGTGGATCCCATCTACGAGACGCTGCGTTATGGCACCTCGCTGGCCCACCTGAACCGCTCCAGCTTCAGCAGCACCTCGGAGTCACCCACCAGGAGCCTGGTATGTGCCAGGGCAGGACGGGGGCACTGAGCCGAGCCCAGCCCAGGCGTGTCACGGGACCCTGCACCGGTTGATCATCCCAGCCCCCATCTTGGGCCCGGGTCGCAAGCCCCAGCCGCACGCCACGGCCAGGAGACTCTGGGGTGGGCGAGGGCTACATGCATTCGGCTGGACCCCCTAGAGGAGGGAGGGGACGGCACTCGGGGGTGGGGGTAGGGAGATTGCTGCGGGAGGGGTGCAGCTGGTGCTGGGGAGGAGCGGGGGCAGTGCTGGAACAGCCCATCCAGCCCCAGGTGTCTCTGTCTTGCCTAGAACGAGAAAGAGGAGGCCGGGGAGGACGCAGACGGCAGCACGGAGGAGAGCCACGGTGACAGCAGTAAGCGTGGGGAGGGGGACGGGGCAGGGGTGGTGCTGCCCGTTTAATAGAGCCCACGCCCGCTCCCCCACAGGGCCCTGGCCCCGGGGCGACGTGGACGTGGGGCTGATTCTCTCCCTCTCTCTCAGTGTTCACGGCCTGCCCCGAGGGTGAAGGTCCCGGCTCAGAGGAGAAGAGCCCTGAGCAGCAGGTGAGCTGTCCCCCAGGTCCCCCCACAGTTGCTCCCCAGGCACCTGCTGGCTCCTGTGTCCCTGCCAGCCCATCCCCCATCCTCCCACTGCCCCGAGCTGGCTCCCATGTCGCCAGAGACCCCTCCCTTAAATCCTGCCAGCTGCATGGAGCTGCCCCCCAGGCCCACCCCAGGGCCATGGCTGGCTCCTTCCCCCAACTCTGCGTCGGCTCTGCTCCTGTTCCTTGCAGCCCTGACTCCTTCCACTTGCCCCTGGGGTGGGGATCCCCTGGCTCCTTGAGGAGCCGTTGTACCCCAAGGGACAGCCCAACCAGCTCCCTGCACCAGGCGTGTGGGTGGGGATGGGGTGCATGCCCTAGGCAATGGGGCTGGAGTGCATGTGTGTAGGGGATGGGGATGGGGCATGGGGGGCATGAGCCGTGGGGCGCAGGCCATGGGCAATGGGGCGTGGGCTGTGGGTGATGGGGCGCGGGTTGTGGGGAACATGAGTCCAGCTCGGGCCCGTCCCTGGCCGGCAGTGACTCTGGGCTTGGGGCCCTTGCTCTCTGTCGCTGCAGGCTGCCGGGGGCTCCTCGCGGAAGGACGTCTCCCCCATGTACTCCTACGTGGCTCTCTACAAGTTCCTGCCCCAGGAGCACAATGACCTGCCCTTGCAGTAAGTGCCCGTCCCCTAGGGGGCAGCCATGAGCATGGGGGCAGAGCGCGCTAGCAGTGGTTCCTGCAAAGCTGGCATGTTGGAGCCAGGGGGAGGGGGGCTGCCCTGAGTCCCCGTGGGGCAGCCCCAGGAGGGAGCTGTGGGCAGGTGTTGGCCCCTCACTGACTCTGAATGGGCTAGCTGGGGAGTGGGGGGTTGCGCCAGGCAGATGTGCCAGGGTCTCGGCTTAGTGTGGCCCTGGGGGTGGTGCTGGTAGGGCACGGGGCAGAGAATGGGGGGCAGCCCTCTCCTCGCCGGCTGCCCTGTGGTGGACAGTGATGCGGAGCATGGGAGGCTGTACGGGGCTGGCATATCCCGCCCCCTCCAGGTTAACACCACCCTGTCCCCGTATCTCTGTCACCCCCAGACCCGGAGACAGGATCATGCTGGTCGATGACTCCAATGAAGACTGGTGGAAGGTCAGTGAGAGCGCCTGGGGGCTGTAAGGAGGGGGTGGGAGTCGGGGAGGGTGCACAGGGCTGGGGGACAGTGGGGGCTGGGCAGGGAGGGCTCAGGGGTTCTGGGGTCTTGGAGAAAGAGGCCAGAGATTCCAAAGAGGGGGGCCCCCCAAGCCCACATCAGCCCCCCCCCCAAGCAACTGCCCACCCTGCCCCACTCCCCCGGGCTGGGGGGCAGGGCTACTGCATTTCCTGCGGGCAGTGAGGGGCCGCTGGGAAGGAAATAAATGGCGCCATAAACCTATCGCGGAAGCCAGCCAGTGAGATGCTGCAGCAGCCGCCCAGTGCCAGGGGCGGTGGCTGGAAGGGGGGGCTGCAACAGCTTCACATACAGCCCCCCTGGCACAGGGCAGATGGGGGGGCAGATCGAGTGGTGGGAGGTGGGCATGATGGGGAGGGTGGAGGGGCAGATCAAGCCGGGCTGGGGCAGGAGGAAGGGTTAACTCAGCACATGGTGACTGGGAACCGGGGTCTACACGCCCTTCACCCTGGTGTCGCCCCCTGGGGTCCCTGCCCCCCTGGGCTTCACTGGCGACCCCCCCCGTCCTGGGTGGGATGCCCCCCCCGTCGCCGTGGCAGGGCTGGGTCCTGACTGGCGAGTCCCCCGTGCTGTGCCACGTCCGGACGCCACCCTCTGCCCTCGGAGCAGGTGGGCAGGCTCCACACACGCCCCGGTGCACGCACACCCCGCAGCCCCCGGCCGGGCGGACGCACATCGGGCTCCCTCTCCCGGTTGCCATGGGGACGGACCCCCCCAGCTGACGCGGCAGCTCGGAGAGCGTGGGTGCCATGCCGCGCGGCTGGCCCTGGCCGCCTGCCAGCAGGGTGGGGTCGGGGGCAAACCCTGCCCTGTCCGTCCCCCCTCCCCAGGGACCCCCGCGGGCCTCAGCTGTCCGTCCCCCCCTCCCCAGGGACCCCCGCGGGCCTCAGCTGTCCGTCCCCCCTCCCCAGGGACCCCCGCGGGCCTCAGCTGGGTGCGCTGGTTTCCTGCCCTTCCGTCCCTACAGCCCACGGGCCGTGTTAACGTGTTACTGGGGGGCGGGGGCAGGTGTCAGGCAGCTCCCTGTGGGTGTGTGATGGGCAATGCTGTGGGGGGGTGTTGGGCAGTGTGTGTGTGTGTGTGTGTGTGTTGGGGATGTGTGTGTGTGTGTTGAGCAGCGCTGTGTGTGTCGGTGAGTGTGTTGGGCAGTGTTGTGTGTGTGTGTGTGGTAGGCAGCACTGTGTGTGTCGGTGTGAGTGTTGGGCAGTGCTGTGTGGTGTGGGTGTGTGCGTTGGGGTGTGTGTGTGTTTTGGGCAGTGCTGTGTGTGTGTGTGTGTGTTGGGGATGTGTGTGTGTGTTGGGCTGTGCTGTGTGGTGTGTGTGTGTGTGGGTGTGGGTGTGTGATAGGCAGCGCTGTGTGGTGTGTGTGTGGGTGTGTGTGTTGGGCAGTGCTGTGTGGTGTGGGTGTGTGCGTTGGGGTGTGTGTGTTTTGGGCAGTGCTGTGTGTGTGTGTGTGTGTGTGTGTTGGGGATGTGTGTGTGTGCTGGGCTGTGCTGTGTGGTGTGTGTGTGTGCGTTGGGGTGTGTGTGTGTGTGTGTGTGTGTTGGGCAGTGCTGTGTGGTGTGTGTGTGTGCGTTGGGTGTGTGTGTGTGTGTGTGGTGTGGGTGGGTGTGGGTGTGGGTGTGGGTGTGATAGGCAGCGCTGTGTGGTGTGTGTGTGTGTGTGTGTGTCGGTGTGAGTGTTGGGCAGTGCTGTGTGGTGTGTGTGTGTGCGTTGGGGTGTGTGTGTGTGTGCGTTGTGTGCGTTGTGTGTGGTGTGTGTGTGGTGTGGGTGTGTGTGTGTGGGTGGGTGTGTGAGGGTGTGTGTGGTGTGTGTGTGTGGGGGTGTGGGTGGGTGTGTGGGTGGGTGTGTGGTAGGCAGCGCTAGTGTTGCGGTGTGCGTGTGACACACAGCTGAACTCTCCCAGGCGATGGAGCTGCAGTCTAATAACCGCACCTGCCCCCACCGCCCCCCCCCCACACACCTGGGAAGCTCCTTCTCTGGGGCCTGCCCTCCGCAGTTGCCCCCCTCCCAGCTCCTCCTCCCCTGGTTAAACTGGCCACATGTCCCCCTTGGCAGGGGATGCCAAGAGGGACCCGCCAGCGTGACCAGGCGATGGGGGGCGGATAATGGGCCATGGAGTTGCTGAGCGTGGGGGCTGGGTTCACGGCCTGGCTGGGAATTGGATCTCAAGCCCTTGCCCTCAAGGCAGTGCCAGCTGGGGGCACCGGGCTGGGCTGGAGCCCTGCCCCTTAGAGGCACCGCCCCAGCCGCCCCCCTGGGGTTCTGGAGCCCGGAGCCCCCCTTCTCCCAGCCCAGCCCAGCCACAAGCTGCCATCGTCCTGGGGCTCTGCGGTGCGTCGGCCCTGGGCCCAGCGCAGGGGTCTCCATGTGGCGGGGCAGCAGGGGCCAGGTGCGGTCTGGTGGGCCGTCGACCTCACGGCCCCAACTTGCCCTTACAGGGCAAGATTGGCGACCGGGTGGGCTTCTTCCCGGCCAACTTCGTGCAGAGAGTGCGCCCGGGCGAGAGCATCTGGAAGTGCTGTCGGCCCTTCTACGGGAACAAGGAGCAGGGACAGATGAGCCTCAAGGAGAGCCAGGTATGGGGGGGTCAGTGTTAGGGGGCAGAACAGGGGAGGTCTCGGCGGGGCAGTCTGTGCTGGCAGAGCGGGGCTGGGCTGGGCTGCAGAATAAGGAAGCGGGGGGGGTCTGTGCTGGGGGTGGAAGGAGGTTGGAGGGTCTGTGATGGGGGACAGAGTGGGATGGGGGTGTCTGTGCTGGTGGGGGTCTGTGCTGGGGGCATTAGGGGGGTCTGTGCTGGGGGGCGGAGTGGTGGGGATCTGTGCTGGTGGGGAGCATCGGGCGTGCGCTGCGGGGCTGCGGGTGACCCCAGTGGGGAGGCCAGCGACGTGTTGAGATGTCCCCATGGCCGGTGGGTCTAGTCTAGCTTCCCACCCCCACCCCCCGGGGCGCTGTGGGAGGTTGCTGTGGAACTGGGACCGGGACGCTCTGTGTGCTCCGGCCCCTCCAGCTCCCGGGGCCACGCGGGCGGTCCTCCTCCTCTTCTCCGGGGGGCTATTGGAGCCAACCCCAAGCCGTGGCAGATCCCTAAGCCTCCCCAAAGGAGGGTGTCGGCTGTCCCCATGCTCCGCCTCCTGCTGCCCCCCAGTCCCGGCCACCCACCGTCCTGCCGCCCAGAGACAACAGCCAGCGGGCCTGGGCCCTGGAGATCAGCGCATCTCTGGCCGAGGCACCTGCTCGGATGCACGCCGGGGTCAGATACTTTGGGCTGGAGACTTGGCCGAGAGATGCCAGGGGGACAAACCCTTCGGAGCAACCCCTGGGCTGCCCTCCCGCTCAGTGGCAGCTTCCCAGCTGATCCGCTGTGGTGGGGGGCAGCAGCGGGGCTGAACTCCAAGCACCCAGGGCTCTTCCGGGCCCGACGGCCGGGACCCGGGTAAGGATCCTGAGCTCTCCCCCTGGAACACAAGAGCCTGGTACTGGGGAAGTTTCTGTCTCTGACCAGCCCCCGCAGCCCAGGGGTGGGCGATAGCCCAAGGCAGGATGTTTGCTGGGCTTTGAGAGCGAGCCAGGCCTAGGCCTTGAGCCCCGGGTCGGAAGCTGTTACTTGGCAGCGGGGACCAGGGCTTTGGGGGCACAAAGAGCTCCTCACTGGCGTCAGCCCCCGGCTCGCACTCTTGCTGCAACTGAATGAGTCAATCTTGCCAGGCCGGGGTGGGCGAGGGACAGAGAGAGTGGTGGGGGGCGGCGGGGAGTGTTCAAAAGACAGCTCAGAGTTCAAAGCGTTTCTTCTAGCTGGTTCACGTTATTGCGATGCCTTCCTCCATTTACCCCAAGAGCAGAATTGGGCCCCTCGTTCTCTAGCTAAGCCCTGGTTACTCCAGTTCCCTCCCTGGCATCTGATTGTAACACCTGCTCCTGGGGAAGTGAACGCCCGCCCTGCGGCGCTCAGAACAGCAATTAGCCTTTGCCGCTTGATCTAAGGTCCAGCCCTTGCTGCTGGCTCCCGATCTCTGGATCAGGCACAGGTGGGCCGGGGGGAGGAGGCTGCATGCTAGTGACCAGTAGTGTGCATGGGCCCTGATCTAGCGCCCTTCCCCCCACACCAGGCTATAGCCTCATTGCTCTGGCATGTGTCGAGCGTGTCCTGTTCTCAGCTGGCTTGTGCCGGATGCCTGGGTCCTGCTGGCATCATGCCCGACTCTCTCTCTCTCAGATCTGCGTTGGTGTGGGGAAGAGCAAGGAGACTGAGGGCTTCCTCAAGGTGACCAGTGGCAAGAAACGAGGCCTGGTGCCCGCCGACACCCTGACGGAGATCTGAAGGGATCAACTGAGCCGTCTGACCCTCTTTCTCCTGGCAGCGGGGACAGGGCCTCTGTAGCCCGCCCCAGCCCAACATTCACTAGCCTGCCCTTCACCGCTTCCCTGTGCTAGGAGCACCTCAGCTAATATTGTTTCCACACTGGACTCAGAGGGGTTTCTTCTGAGGCTGACTACTCCCAGGTTGGCACCAATGCCATCTTGCTGGCCAGCAGAGGGCAGAAGCGGGGTGGGGGATTAATTCCCACCCTCCTGTCTAGGCTGAGCCTGCCTGATCCTACCCCCTCCGGCTTTGTTTTTGTAGCAGGGGTGACGGATTCCCCAGCAGCACACGTGTCAATAGCCCCGCAGCGCAGCAAATGGCAGGAGATTCCCCCGGCTGCATCTAACCTTTCTCCCCATCCCCGCCTCTGTCTTTTGCCTGGTGGGCAGCACTCCCTGGACTGAGCCATGAGCCGGCTGCAGGAAGATGACTCCAGATCCAGCTGGCTGGGATGCCACAGGGAGGGGGCCTCAATCGCTCATAGTGCCCCCCGGCTCCCAGTAGAAGGACACTGCTGCCCACGCCGTCCCGCATGCGTATAATGTGTGGAAACCCAACGGCTCCTGGCTGGCCTTGTGGCTCCGAGGGGCATGTGGACTGTGTGTCGCGTCCGTCTGTCTGTCTGTGCGTGTATCCGTGTGTTAGTTTAATCGCGAGACCTCTTGGAAACCACGCGAATTTGTCCGTTAACCACTCAGGGCCGGGATCGTCCGTGTCAAAGCAAGGGGGCAGGCCTGCGTCTTTGGTGTGACCGAGGGGGAGGCGGGGGGGCTTTCTCATGACTCGGCTCTTCCTCCCTGGAGGTTTCTTCGGCACCGGTGGCTCCTCCGTGGACTCATTTACCCGACCTCAGGAATCTTCGGCCAGATCCACGGGAGACTCAGAGCGCGAGGCTTTCCCGGGCCTCTGTTATCCTTGGGGACCCATCCCTCTCTCCAGGGCATTCCCTGCCCATGCAGGGTCACTGCCAGCTCCTCCTCCCTCACCCCATGGGCTTTGCCATCCCTTCCCTTGGCGGGCTGTGAACACCATCAGCCATTTCCCTGGCCTGCTCCAGGCCAGCTCTCTGGGCTTGCCCGCTGCTGGTCGTTCAGAGGGGGCGGGCACCGGGAGGGGGAGGGGTGGTGCATTGCTTCCCCTCCCGTGTTCGAGCTCTTTAGGATGCCAGTCCTCGTCTCTTCTCTGCACTCCCCCCTTCAATACAGCCCCCCACCCCCGGATCATCTATGCAGCCCCTCCCCGTGGCCGTGGTTCAGGTGGGTCAACAGCCCAGCCTCACCCTCCCACTGCCTCTGTCTGGTTGTCACTGGAGCACCGGAGGGGTGCTACGGAGCACGGATGTGGGGCAGAGCTTGTCTCCTGGGAGGGGTGACCCCTTCCCCAACTCGGGGCCATTCAGCGCTAGATTGCTGGGGAAGGGTTCCCAGGAACACACTAAGGGCAGATCCCTGGGATTCCCTCCGTCCTGGTGCCCTGCAGCACCTACACGCAGGGGTCACCTCGTCAACATTCCCCTGGCACCAGCCACGAACCCCCCCCCTCCCCCAATGTGCAGACACAATCACTGCAGCCTGACAGGGGGAATTGAGGCAAAGCTGCCCCACTCCCAGATCAACTCACCTAAGCAATAATGTCTGGCGCTGGTCTGGACCCAGGGTTGTGGCACGTCACCTGTACATAGAGGATGCATGAGAGCTCGGCCATCGGCCTGGCTGACCTAGTTCCACATTAAATGTTACTATGTCGCATTCATGACCGCGTTGGGTGGTTTGTCTCTGGGCCAATGGGGATGGCTTGCTGACGAGGGACCCCACTCTGCCCTGTCGTTAGCCCATGAGCGTGTGATTCGTCCTTTGCCCGCGTACGGCATCTGAGGCCCCTCAGACACCCTCCCCTCACCAGGGCACACAGGCTTTTCCAGCCCCCTTCTGGGTGGGGAAACTGAGGCATGGAGCGGCGAGAAGGACTTCGGTGGCCGTTGGAGCTGAGAAAGGTCACTAGGGCTGGCTTGCCTTGCCTAAGAGTGTCAGCCTCAGGAATAGAACCCAGGAGTCCTGGTTTATAGTCCCCTAGTCTGACCCCAGAGCAATGCACCTTCCTAGCCCTGGGAAAAGACGGATTTTCCTGCTTTAATCATTGCACCATGCTTTTCCCTGGAGCTGGGCCTAGAATCCAGGAGTCCTGGCTCCCAGCAGCCTGCTATATCCACTAGATCACATGCCCCTCAGAGCATCCCATGCCTCCTGTTCTAACCGCTAGACTGTCCTGCTGCCCTGGTCCTGTGCGACAAGCACCTGGCACTGCCTGGCCCTGGGAACTCTGTTGCACAGCGGGGGGAAGGGGGAGCACTGGGTGCTTCAAACCAGGATCAAGGGAACCCAGGGCAGGACTGGCCCAGTGTGTGTGTGTGGGGTGGGACTGGAGGGGGCAGCAGCAGAGCTGGGGGTAGGGGACGAGGTTGCGGAGCATTGGGCCAAGCTGAGTTGGGAGGGTGGGAAGAGCTCAGCACTGGAATGGGGGGACAGTGGGGAGGCTTGGGGGGCAGCAGCAGAGCTGGGGAGTGAGCAGCCTGGGGCTGGACTAGCAGGGGACTCCAGGGTGGGATCGAAGGGCATTGCCAGGAGTGCATGGCACCCTGGATGGGACTGGCTCGTGTGGCGGGTCTCGGATGGGAGGGGGGCGGTCAGACAGAGGGGCGTCGATCAGTAGCGGGGTGGGACTTAGCAGACCACCTGCCTCCTGCCAGCGGAGTCGGGCGCTCGGTGCTGAGCTAAGAGCAGACAACCCCAGGAGCCCGTGCGTGAGGCCGGGGGGGGGGGGGGCAGAAAGGCCTCACAGCCTGGTGCTAAGAGCCTGGGAGGGCTGCCCGGTCGCTGTCTTTCACGAGTCCCCGGCCTCAGGCAGCGCAGGGTGGCAGTCTGGCTCCTGGCCACGCCGCGGGAGCCCCCCAGCCTGGCACACGGCAGAACTAGGGCGTCTTCCGAGGAAATTTCGGGGCGGGGGGGGAGGGGCATGCGTCGCTCCATCATCCATTGAGCGTCCCGGGCCGTGCAGACAGGCTGGCCTGCGGGGAGCCTTTGTCTGAGCGATTTCGAGAGAGTGGCGGGATTGGAAGGTTGCTGGGCCTGCACCCTCCTCTTGCAGCATCACGGTCCTGCTCTGGCAGGATGCCTGGGTTCGTTCCCAGTCTTCGGCTGGGAAGGTGGTGGCAGGGTTAGGGTATGGGCGTGGGCGAGCAGGATGCCTGGGTTCTAGCCCCACAGCTCGATAGGAGTGGGGTTTTGGATTAGGGCAAAGGGTTTAGGCATCAGGACTCCTGGGTTCTGACCCTGGCTCCCTGGATGACCTTGGCCAAGTCACTTGACCTCGCAGTGTTGTGGAGAGGCTACAGGGTCCCAGGCACGAGCAAGGTTAGCTCCCGCTCAGCTTGGTCTTGCCCCCGCTGCTTTGTCCCAGCTTGATGAGAGGATTACAAAAAAGCCCCCACAATGTCTCTGCCCAGCACGTCTGCCTCAGCGCTGACTGGGCCCGGGGGGGGGGCAGGGGGTTTGGGGGGGTAGTAGCCTGGCAAGGCTCAGCATTCGTCCTAATACCCTGCTGCATATCCATAGCAGGCATTTTACAGATGAGGAAACTGAGGAACGGGGGGGTGGGGGGGCATCCCCTAATTTGCCCAAGGTTCCACAGGTAATAAGTAGCAAAGCTAGGAATAAAACCCAGGAGTCCTGGCAAGCAGGTGCCTGCTCTAGTCCCTATCTAGCGTATATGGCCTCTGTTACCCTGAGCACCTCCCGTGCTTTAATGCCGCACTGCTGGGACGCAGGACAGGGCTAGTAGTGCCTTCATACAGATGGGAAACTGAGGCACAAAGAAGCTAAGTGACTTGGCCAAGGTCATACAGGGAGTTTGTGGCAGAGCAGGGACTTGATCCTGGGTCCCAGGCTAGTCCTCTAACCACTAGACCCACTCCCCTCCTGGAGCTGCAACTAGAACCCAGGAGGCCTGAGTCCCAGCCACCTGCTCTAAACAGAAGATCCTGGGGTGGGGGTGGGGCCCTGGGCTGTGGGGTGAGTGAGGGGCCCGGGATAGCTGCGGGGGGCAGAGGGGGGGGGTGCAGAGAGACCTGAGCTCCTTGGATGGGGCCCAGGATAGCGGCTCAGCCAGGAAGGAACTGAACTGTCCCGTAACAAAGCCTTGCCGAGGAAGGGAGAGCGAGGCAGGCGGCTGGTGACAGCAGAGCGATAACTTAATTAGCCCGGGTAATTGGATCTGTTCCGGCAGGGACAGGCCAGCAATGCTAGAGCCAGCCTGGGGGCTGCAGATGGGGCCGTGGGGACACCGGACTCCTTAATGGCCTTTGCCAGAGCTGCTGGGCAGCAGCAGAAGCCAGCGCCGGCCCTGCCTGTGGGATGGAGGGGGGCGGTGTCTGCAGGTTACTGTGACTGAGCGGAGACATCCCCCACCCCCCCAAGGCCTCAGCCAAAGGCCCCCAGCCCCCCCTTCTCCACCATGGGCTGAGCCTTGTCCCCTGGGGACGCTTGGCTCAGACTCAGTCGCCCGACCCTAGGCTGGGTGAGACGCACCTTCTGGGCTCTGGGGCTTGGCAGTTCACAGGGCTTTGGTCCCAGCGATCCATCATTCTGCTATCACACCATCCCGTCCACACCTGTTGCTCTATCCAGCCCTAGATCTACCCTGCTAGCTAATCTAACCTGGCCACCCAGCCCCATACACACTCTCTGACCTGCCCATCACCCTGGTCTCTGCCTGGCTTGAGCTCTCACTCATTAGCCGCCCCCACACTGCTCTGGCACGATGGTGTTTGCGCTGGCCCCCAGTGGCAGGGCAGGTGTTGGCAAGCGAACCCTAGCTCCCGCCCCGTCCTTCGCAAGTGACCTCTCCCTTTGGAATGGCCTGGCTCGCTCCTGCCTGCCCAGACCTCTTATGACCTGGATGGCAGGGCAGGGGGTTGAAACCCACCTTTGACATTTACAGTTTGAATTTTCCAGGTGGGGAAACTGAGGCAGCATGAGGCCAGAGCCCCTGTGACCTCGGGGCCAGGGGATGTTCCAGTGATGCGTGATGATGCGCGAGCACAGGAAGGCCATTGGAGCCAGACTGGGGCTTGCGCCCTGTCCCAGTCGCAGTGGGGATCTCTTCCCTAAATGCCCCGTGCCCCACTGAAACCAGCCAACCACTGAGCCATGGGGTAGGGACTGGGGGAGGGGAAGCTGTGTGACGAAGTGGGACTGTTCTTAATGTTTCCTCTGAATAGTGTGGGGGTGCCTCAGTTTCCCCTAGGCAGTTCTTAAGTATCTAGGTGGTGGGGTAAGCGTGTATGATCATTGCAGAGCCCTAGAGGGCAGGTGTGTGCAGGAGTCTGGACACAGAGAATGGCCGACACCCTGTTTCCTGGCAACTGATGGCCTGGGCCCTTCCCCCCTGCAAGGTGAGAGCTAAAGGGTTGGAGAACAAAAGAATCAGGTGACCTCCTGCCCCAGGAAAGGGACAAAGCCCAGAGGAGGAGGGGCTGGAGGGAGTTTCAGTTTGGGGCTGGCTGGGACATGGAGTGAAGTGCAGACGGGGTTGTCTGGCTCACTGCCCCCCAAAATGGACCCAGCTGAGGGGTCCTGTTCTCTGCACCAGCAAGCTCTGTTTTGGACCATGTTCCTGTCATCTAATAAACCTTTGTTTTACTGGCTGGCTGAGAGTCACGTCTGACTGCGAAGTTGGGGTGCAGGACCCTCTGGCTTCCCCAGGAGCCCTGCCTGAGGGGACTCGCTGGGGGAAGCGCACGGAGGGGCAGAGGATGCTGAATGCTCCGAGGTCAGACCCAGGAAGCTCTGTGTGAGCTGTGTGTCCTGAAGACAGGCTGCTCACGGAAAGGAGACTTCCCCAGAGTCCTGACTGGCTTCATGGGGAGCAGTTCCAGAGCATCGCCCAGGGACTCCGTGACAAGCTGATTAGCATTTGGGACCAGCATGCTCTTCCCCACATTGCCCTTCTCGGACCCCCCCCCCCCACACTTGCATCCCAGAAAACCCACTGCCACAGCTGGGTGGAAAGGCCAAGGTGTGAATGGGTCGTGGTGCCTGGAACACCTCCCAGAGACCAGTGTGGGGCACTGCCTTGCCCTATGGAGAAGAAGAGCCCTTGGAGGCTGGCAATCCAGCCCCTGTGCTAGATTGCCTCAGCGAGAGCTGCAGCCATACAAAACTCCTGGAATATTTCATAGCCCCGGCCCACCCCGAGCAAAAGGCCTCCTGGATCCCGCGCTGAGGGGCCCAGTCTGGCTCCCTGACAGCAAAGCACTCGTCTCTCTGCGCTGTGCCGTAAGCAGCGGAAAGTGATGTAGGACCAGGTATGGGCAGCTCCTCTGGGCCGCGAGATAAAAGGGGTTGGGGGGTAGCTGGATGAGGCAGGTGGCACGGGCCTGCGTTCTCTGCCCACTGGGTGTCTGGATGTTTGCCTGATCTGGTCATGCAGGTGTCCCAGCCTGGAGGCCAGCTATGCATGTCTGGTAATCCTTGGCATTCCAGCGGTGCACATCTGATAATCCTGGGCGTTCCAGCTGTGCACGTCTGGTAATCCCGGGCGTTCCAGATGTGCACATCTGATAATCCTGGGCATTCCAGCTGTGTGTCTGGCACTCCTGGAGGTTCCAGATGTCCGTCTGCCCCAGCTAGGTGTGTGACGCACACATGGAGATTCTGGCCTCCGGCCCGGCATGCATGGTGTCGCAAAGTCTGGATCCCATTTGTGTAGGTGGCCTTGTGTAGGTGCCGGAGCCCAGCTGGGCGTGGATTATAGTCCTGGGGATTCTGGCTCCCAGCTGTGGGTCTGGCGCCCCACTGCAGCTTGTGTCAGTCTCTGACCGCTGCTGTGAGGAACACCCGGCTCAGCACATCCTTTGGGGTAAGACTTACGCACACACACGTGCAAATGTCCATGTACAGACATGCCCACGGACAGCCACTCACACAGAAATACACCCCCTCCACACACTCAGACGCCCCCAGAAGCAGAGAGACACCTCCCCCCCACCAACAAACACACGCACACATGCGATTTGTTTGCACTCAACATGTCTGTGGCGAGGCCCCCAGCGTTCCTGTCCCCGTTTCCGAAAGCCGGGCAATACACTGTATTCCAGGGTTAATAATTCATCATTCATTCCAGTGGGTTGATTTGTCTGTTAGGTCGCCAGAGGCCCGAACCCCAAATTCAGATCTGGGTTCAGATTCCAGCCTCCCCCTGGGGTTCTGATCCAGGCCTTGGACTGGGTCCCATTTCCAGGATTACTGGGATTGTTATGAACCTCTCTCTAACCCAATGAAAGCCGCAGGATCGGCTCCATTTCCCAGCCATCAAAGCCGCGAATGCTGTGAATCACAGCAGGGAAATGCGCTCAGAGCAACGGACATCACATTAAATCCATCTCCGGGGAGTTCAGACGCCACGTCCGCAACATGCCTCGAAGGTTTGCAGCACAGGGCAGCGAGCACAGGGCAACGAGCACAGGGCAACAGGGGCACTGCCTGGGGTGGATGGGGCTGGAGCGTGACCTGACCCCACAGCTCCTTTTCCTCTACCCCCTGGCAGCTGTTGGAGCAGACGTGAGACTCAGAGAGCAGGTGCTGTGTTTGCCATGGCCCAATCCTTCCCCACTGGAGTCAATGAGATGGGAGCCAGCTCACAGGGCCGCTGCTTGGCAGCTGCTTGGCAATTACACGGCACGTCTTCCCCGCTAACGAGGCCGACAGGTGCTGGGTAAACCCCTGAGAGGCTGACTGCCCTGAGAACAGCCACAGTCCTGCAAAGAAGGAGAAACCCCGATAGAGGAGACAGCTCCCCCCTACAACAGCGAGTGACAGGCATGCGACAGCAACAAAGCACCAACCAACCGTTGGCTCACCCTCGGAGGCAAATTGGCATCAACAGCCCCAGATGGGGAAACTGAGGCACAAAGGTGCGCTCAGACACTTAGGGAGGCAGGGTGAGAAGTCAGGGAGTCCTGGCTCCCAGGCCATACGCAGTCCACTGGTGCTGATCAGTGCTAGGGCAAGCCAGTCCCAGGCACCGCCCCATCGGGAGATCCCAGAGCTCTGCATACATGTGTCAGAGCAGGCCATATCTTCGTGCCGGTGTCATGGTGCCCACCTTCCCCCTGAGGTGGTGAAGCAGGGGCATTGCTTGACTGCCCAGGAAGGGGGGGGCGCTGCTGCATGGCACCAACCCTTTCATGCCAAGCGGAGTTGGGACAGAGTCTGGAACTGCCTGTGTGGAAGTGCATTGTGCTGTCCAGAGAGCCAGCCTAAGGCAGGCCTCTGGGGATCCCCAGCATCCTGGCCCCCAGGCTAGGTGATGACATTCCTCCAGCAGCTGCTTTCCCAGTCCCCTGGCTTGCTGCCCAGGGCTGCTCGGAGGACAGCGTTCCCAGCGCCTGGCTGCAGCCAGCCAAGATCTGCCCTGGCCCCATTACACCCCACGCCCCGCCTCTGAGCCCTCCTGCTGGCTTTTCTTCACCAGGGGCTGCAGCTGAGCCTGGGGCAGGGGACTTGTGGCCGTTCCCACGGGCTCGCCCAGCCCAAACTCCTGGGGAGACTCGGCTCGGGGGCAGCACCCAAGCCCTGTGCTTTGGCTAAACCAAGAGCCCCCAGCACAGAGGCCACAATGCCTCATCGCCCTCCACAGTGCCTCAGTTTCCCCAGGAGGCAGCACACCCACCTTGCTCTCTTTGGCCATGCAGCGGGTTTCCCGCTTGGCTTCCCTGCCTGCTCCTGCTTTCTCCTGGCTCTGGGGCTGGCTTGGCCCCTGGCCGGGCAGTCAGCCCGCCCCTTGCCCTGTCTCCGCACTGGCTCTCGGCTCTGCTCACAGAAGCCAGGTGGCCCCTCTTCCCGAGCAACTGGCACATGGGCACCATTCCCGGGAGCGCAGGGCCTGTTGGGTTGGCACGGCACATGGAGAACGTTTGTGGCTCCAGGCTGAGCCCAGCCACCCTCCCACCCCTTGGGAGTGGCTGAGTGGCTTCAGGAGTTGGGGGGGCCCACGGGAGGAGGAGCTGAGGTGGGTAAACAGGAGCGAGAGGCCAAGAGCGGGTCTGGCAGTGCCCGGGTGGCCCCTCAGAGCCAGGTGTGGCTCGTGTTGCTGCTGGGAAAGGCTTGTTCCCATGGGTGGAGCTGAGTCAGGGCTGGGTTACGGAAAAGTACCAGGAGCCAGGAGGCAGCAAGGGCCCATCAGGCTGCGTTAGCGTCTCCGGCCTGGGCTGGGAATTTTCCATCATCTCATGTCACATCGCATTGATATTTACTTCCACTCATAGGACGGGGGAAGCAAAGCCACAGGGAGGCTCGTTCAGTCTCAGCAGCTGCTTGGAGGGCGGCTCCCGGAGGGGCTGGCGTGACGGGTGCAGCAGGTCTGTGGCCGGGGTCTGGAGCTGGGCTGGAGCTTGGAAGCCACTCACCAGGCTGGAGCACCCCTTGGTCGGCCATCGACCTCATGGAGCCAGGTGATCTTGGTGATGGGGGCGGAGGGTGGGAGGCTGGTCAGAGTCACTTGGCATGATACGCACTGCGCTGGGCACCATCAATGTCCCTCCAGGAACACCGGGCCCCGTACGCACTGGGTGTGATACATCCCCTGCCAGTGTCTCTCCAGTGCAACACCCGGACTGAGGCCAGAGGCACTGGGCACTCTGCCCGGGGTACCCCACTGGACACCGCGGCCAACCACTGCAGAATAACCTGACAGATCTCCAGCCCCTTGCACCCTCCCTTCCCCCCTAGAACTCCAGCCAGACAAAGCGGGAAGCCCTGAAACCAATCCATTTGGAGCTCTCTTTCTTTTTTCCAATTGTCATGCAAACGATCCCAGTTAGTGCTGGCCAATCCCAGCCAGAGCCTAGGAAAACCCATCCCGAGACAGAGAAATCAGAAAAGCCCTGCGGACTGCTAGTGTGGTAAAGGCCTGTGTGGGGCAGAACCGGGGTGAGAAGTTTAAGGGAGAGATCCCAGCGCTGCAAAAAGAAGCAGGACCAAGCGAGTGTGTCCCCCCCCCATTAACGGTGCAGATCACGAGGGATCTAGGGCTCTCGGTTTCCAGCCACACCACACAGAGTGGGGGGCTAGGATTTCAGGCCAATACATTGAGCACCAACAAAAGAAAGCACGGCTCTGTTCTGTGTACTCCGCTGCAGGGAGAGGTCAGTGACACAGATCCCAACCAGCGGCTCTCCAGCTATTAATAACATCTATCGCCACACAAGACAGGGCCAGCTCACAGGGAAGCAGATCTCAGGCTTCAGGACACAAGGGGTCAGGAAGGAACTGATGCTCCAGCCATGTGCCCCACTGTGCCTTTGGCCAGGTGCATTGTGGGTTGTTGGGGCAGAGGGAAGGGCTGCCTTCCACAGCAACAGCACTCGCCGACTGCTAGCGTCTGGGGGAAGCAGGAGATGGGCCCATTGGTCTGATCCAGAGCAGCAGGGACAGGGGATACCAGGGTAAAGGGGCCCTTGGTTGGCTCCAGGGGAGCAGGGGTGGGATCCTGGGGTAGATGGGCCCAGTGGTTGGCTCTGGGCAGTAGGGGTGGGATACCGGGGTAGATGGGCCCATTAGTTGGCTCTGGGGCAGCAGGTGCACGGCCCTTTGGATCTTGCAAGGGCAGCGCTACGAGGCGGCATAGGGATTCCTCCGTTTGCAGCACCGAGCGCACACCTGCCCACCCACCTCACCGGCACCCACCCACAAGCCCCCTGTGGTTTGGGCCCCTCTCCTCCCCAGCCACCCTGGCTGACAGATTGGGAGCAGCTGTGGTTGGAGCTGGCCCCTGGCCAGGGCTCTGGGCTGCGCTGGGGCCCTCCTCTCACCTGGGGGCAGCTGGGAAGCATCCCGACCTGTCAGGATGTATCACACTCAGGGCTCCGGCCAGGCAGGGACAAGCACGTCTCTGCCCGGCTACAGCCAGGGGCTGGGAACAGAGACCTCAGCCTCGTGCTGGGCTCAGAGTGGGGAGCGCTGGGAGTGGAGACAGCCCCTGCCCTCACAGGGGGGCTTATCCACAGGGCAGGGCTGTACCCCCTCCTCCCAGCTCCAGCCTGGAACGTGCCCCAGCTGGAGACGCAGCCCCCCGGCTCTTCTGCACCTGGGCACCACAAGCCAGCACTGACTGGGAGGGGAGGGGAGTGGGGTGGGGCCCTAACCTGCTCTCTAGCACCCCACTGGGGCAAGTGCTGATGCTGAGAGGAGAGCACCTCCTCCGGCCCCCCCTTTCCCTCAGCACAGCACTGGCTAAAGCTGCACTGGGGCATTAGGGCCCGCACTGACTGCCAGGGGAGAGCGCCCCCTACTGAGCCCACAGTGCCCCCCTGCACTGCGCTGGGGCAGGGGGGCCAGCACTGGCTGCAAGGAGAGGTTTTCCTTGGAGCTCTCCCCACCCAAGGACTCTCCGTGGCCCGGCCTGCTTGCGAGTTCAGCCCAGATCCCAGCCCCCCAAGAGCAAACACCAGGAGCTGGGCAAAACCAGCTTAAAAAGCATGACAACCTGAAAGCATTTCAGTTCCCAGCGTGAGCCGCCTTTAAAAGGGAAAAGAATCCGACCGTGGAAGCAAACAAAGGCTGGAATAATGGCAGTGTGTTCACTGGGTGATTTCCACGCCCTATGGCGCAGAGGGGCCATGCCGGACCACCTGCAGTTGCATAAGGGGGCTTGGGAGCAAATTTCCTTCTGCCCAGAGCCACCCTGTTTGCTCACCAAGGGCTTCTGAGAAGGAAGATGGGGAGGGGTGGGTGTTATCAGTGAATGTTGTTACCCTTTGTATTATTGTAGGGCCTACAGGACCCTTGCAGGTCCAGCCTCCCTGTGCGCCAGGCACTGTACATGGCCACAGGAAGGGTCTGAGGGTTGTTTGGAGTTAAGCGCTTGCCCTACAGGTTTGGCTCTTCGGAGCCATCGACACTGGGTAGACACGCAGAACCATGGGTGGCAGGTTGGGCTAGCTACCTGCATCTGTACCCAGGGGTCTGGGGAAGGTTTGTTCTCGGGTGCACCTGGCTAGGCCAGCTAGGAACCATGCTCCCAGCTGCTGTGTAGACGTGCCCTTAGAGGCACAAGTAGAGCGAAGCCAGTGGCCTCAGCCCCGTTTCCTCACACCAACCCTGCAGGGCTGTGCAGCCGTCCCTCAGGGCGACAGGGATGAGGGGCTAGGGCGAGACACCCCGCTACCTGCCCGTGCCACCCCCGGCCCCGCTCAGCCGACGCACCTCGATCCTCGCCGGGCTGGAGTGTGGCACCAGCGAAGGGTTAAGCGGCCAAGCCGGCCCCTGCAGCCCGAGCTGGGAAGGTGCCAGAGCGAGGGAGGACAGGACCGTTTCCAAACCACTAAGCAAATGCCAGGCCCCTTTGCATTCGCCGCAAAGTGCGGCCCCCCCTCAGAGCTCCTGCCAAGTGCTGCCCGTTACAGGAGAGCGGAGCACTTCCCTGACACATGGGGCGAGGGGGGGTTTACATGCGTGGATGTGCCCAGAAAGCCGCTCCAGCCTTTGCCTCTCCCCACACAATTGCCTGGTGGAGCTGCTGAGACCAGAGACCCCCAGCTCCCCATGCACCCCTCCAGACGCACATCTCACCCCCCTGCCCCTATGCCCAGCCCACCTCCACACACCCCAGCCTCACCACATCCTCCAGCCCTGCGCCCTCCCATCTCCTCCCCACGCCCCTATGCGCCCCCCCACCTCACATGCCCACCGTACACACTGACAGACAAGTGTTCCCCTCTCTCTCACACCCACCCCATGATCCCAGCCCTAGCCCCCACCCCCTTGCCTTATCTCCACCCCCCCCTCTCACAGTATTCTTGTCCCCATAACCCCCCCACCCCAGGTCCCCATCCTCCTCCCCTCATCACTGGCTACTTCTGCTCATTCACATCCAGGCTTTAAGAAGAGTTGCTTGGCATTAACCCTTTCCCCACACTGACACTACCAGTTCTGGGGGAAGCGGCCAGCAAGGCACTCGTTAATGTTAACCCTTACCCCCACCCCCAATCCAGCCTCATTCATCTCAAAGCCCCTTCCACCCTGGCAAGCCCCACTCCACCAGAGGCCCCACATAGCCCTGCCCCCAAACCCCCACCCACCAGATATAGCCATCCTTCACTTCCTGTCCCAAACAGCCAAGCACCATTGCTGTGCACTGTTTGCAAGCTGCCCTGTTCCACACCAGAGAAGGCTGCATTTCAACCCTGGGGGAAGCAATTCCTGCATATCCAGCCCCATATGCAGTATTGGGAGGCTGGAGCATGCAACGTCCTCCCAGGTACTGCCTCTCAGGCTGGGCAATGCCCTGGAGAATACCTCCCTGCCACTGGCCCACATGCAAATTGACAGCTGGCCAAAGCCCTGAGGCCCTCACTTGAAGCAGACAGCTGGGGGTAGGGGACAGCCCCGGTCTGGGATGATAGAGGGCACAGCTGTGGGTCAGGCTGGAGGAGCATCAGCTCTGCACTTCTGCATCTGTACCAGGGGGCAGGAGGTAGTCTTCCCTCCAAGAGGTGACCAGACAGCCTACTAGAGCCTATGACTTATATAGGCACCTATACCACCCCCACAAAAGAAAAGAAAAGTGTCCTGATTTTTCACACTTGCTGTCTGCTCACCCTATGCTGGCCCACGGGTGGAGAATTCACACCCTAGGGGTACCACTTCATCCCCTGCCAGCACTGAGCCAGGGCTGATCATTTTCCCCTGCCAAAGGGGGCAGGGGGGACGGACAAGCCCTGCCTAGGGGAAGGGGGGCTGGGAAGAAGAGCAGGGCCCAGAAAGATGAGAGCAGCTGGGGCTGGGAGGCTGGTACAGCACAAGGCCCAGATTAAGGGCAGGTCCCCTCCCTGTGACAGCTGAGTCAGAGGCAGCCGCCCCCACAGCACTGAGTCACCTGCCTGGGGAACGCTGGAGGGGGTAGGAACAGACAATGCCCCCACTACCTCTTGCTCCTGCTTGGGGCAGGGGGCGGGGAAGGAGAAGAGAACTTGGCCTACACCTACTGCCCCCCTGGAGACAGACCCCTCATCCCTGGAGGGGGCAGGAGGCTGCAGCTAGCAGGGCCCTGCAGCCAGCTCAGCCTGGGCAGCGTGAGCTGGATCGCAGACCCTTGCCACATGGGGAGCAACTACGCCCGCACCAGTCCCACAATGGCCCCTTCAAGGCAGCTCAGAGTCCTTCCATGGGCCCCTCAGCTGCCCTTTGGGGCTGAACACAGCAGAGCCCCAGCTTAATGGGGGCTCCCTGTTTGCACCAAGGCTTCCTCTGAGTGCCAGCCTGGCCCACCCCCTCACATTGCCCAGTGAGGAGGAGTCCCAGGCTAGACCCTGCAATGCACGTGGCCCTCCTAAGGTGGGCAGCAATGCTGGGCACCTCACCCCCCCTCCACTAACCCTGCACTCACTGCTCAGCAAATGAGCATTCAGGGCAGCGCTGTTTGCTGGGCACTCCCAGGACTACCCCCCTCAACTCCCCCCACCCCACACTCAGGGTCTGAGCCAGCCAGCTCCATGCACCAGCCCAGAGAGGGCACAGGAGGGGCCATGAGACAGCTCACCCACGCTGTGAGCAGGGGCTGTTCCCCACCCTGACAAAAAAGTCCCACCCCCCCCCAGGGCCTGTCCCCGGGGCTGGACAGTGAGGAGAGGCCTTGCTTGGTGGAGGGCCAGAGCTGGATCAACCACAATCCACATCCCCCCCCTACCCCGCCACTCCACTGTGAATGCACCAGCAAGGCACCAGGCTGCCAGCCCCTCCCTACCCATAGAGCCCCTGCCATGGGGGGGCGGGGGGAGGCTACCTCCCACCCACACAGGGTCCCACTTCCCATGGGTGATCTACAGGGGGCTCTACCTGTGCAGCCTGCCCCCTCAGAGGCAGGAACTGGAGATCCCCAGAGGCTCAGGGGGTGGCAGGAGAGGACCGGTCCCGGTACCATGGGCTCAAGAATGGTTGGAGGGGGAAGCGGATTCTAGCTCTGCTCCGTGACCACCCCGCTCCCCAGTGCTTGGGGCTGGCTCTGGCCACAGCAGCCCCAGCGCCTGGTAACAGTTCCCAGGAAGAGCCCAAGGCAACCCCCCAGCCCTAGGAACACAGCGGGGGGGGCCCCCACAGTTAGCACCTCATGCCCCCTCCACCCCCAGCGGGCCCTGCGAGCCTACAGACCGGGTGGGGAAGAGGAGGAAAGGCCAGAGGAGACAAGGGCTCAGCTTTCCAGCAAGTGTTTATTGCTCAGTGTTTGGCCCACTTGTCACACCTGCAGGTGGGCACAGGCCAGGCATCCCCCAAACCCCGCCTGTCCTTGGAACACAACCCCCCTACAGACTTGCTGGGGTCAGGGACAGCCCTGCCCCCTGCTTAAACTCAATAGACACCCTCTGCTTGGCAGGAAAAAAACTCCCAACGTAAAAGGGAGGTTCATTTGCCTGGACCAACCTCCTCCTGCCCCAGGGAGCTTCCCCCTTCCACCCATTCCAGGGGGAAAAAGAATTAAAGCAAATACCAGCTGAAAGCCATGGACAGCCCAGCCTCTGAGCTCTGGGGGCCCCCTGCCTGGCACCAGGCAGCATCTCCCTGGGCCGGATGTTGTCTCTAGGCCACCTCCTGGGGCCCGGTGGCCGGGGGCAGCTGGAAGAGGGCGCTGAGGTTCACCTCGGGCTCCACAGCGTGGCGGCAGGGGCGCTCATTGAAGAGCCCCGACAGGTCGCTCTCCAGCTTGGCCTTGGCACGCAGGAGCGGCAAGGGGCCCAGGGCCGTTCTCGCCCGCCGGGAAGCCTGACCGGCTGTGCTTGAGCCGCACGTAGAGCTTCTGGCTGAAGAGCGGGCTCAGGTTCTCTTCCACCAGCACCTGCCGCTGGGCGCCCAGCCGCTGCTGGCTTTTCCTGCTGGGCCAGCAGCGCTGCGGCTGCAGAGAGGAGCGGGGCTCAGGGCCTTGGCCTGGGGGCTTGTTCCCCCTCAGGGGCTCCCCCAGCACCCTGCCACCCCAAGCCCTATGCAGCCTTGCCCCGTTATAAGGCCCCCCGTGCTCCCCCAGCCTCTCCCCAACAAGCTTCTATTGCAACCACTGCCAGCAGAGAGCTGCACCCCCAGAGCGCTCAGGGCAGATGCCTCCCATGGCAGCCCCTGTGGTGGTTTGATGTTAGAGGGTCTTTCCCAGCTAACCCTGGGTTTGAGCCATTGGGGAGGGTCACACCCTACTTCCCACTGCAGTAGAAGACCCCCCTCCAGTTTGGGACCAGACCCCAGCTTCAGTGACAGATTTTGCTACTTCAGGAAGGGCCCGTGGCTCACCCACTCCAGCATGGGCCAATTACCTTCAGTTTCTTCTTTGTGGGGTCATGGACCGTCAGGTGCCGGATTAGACTCTCCTGCCAAGGAAAGAGGAGTAAGTCACCGAGCACAAACCCCTGCCAGAGGGCCCCCCCCCCCCAAATCCCTCTTATTCAAATATTTTAGGGTTGACTGGGTATTCTAGTGCAGTGCCTCATGGGGGTTTAGTTTCTTCTGATTCCTGTCTCATCTATGGGCCACGATCACCTGCTGGACTACATCTCTCATGATGCAACTGCTCCCCCAAACATGAGGGGGAAGATGGTGCATCATGGGAAATTTAGTCCACCCAGGGACCCCTGCCTGGAGAGGCCAATAGGAGCATGAGGAAATGGAACTACAACTCCCATGAGGCACTGTGACAGCATTTCCCAAGTTAAATATTTGGGGGGGCGAGGGGGGGGAATTGATTTTTTGCCAAATCAAAAAAATTGATCAAGTTAAAAAAAACTTCCTAGAACTTTCCCATGGAAAAAAAAAAAGCCCATTTTCAGCCAGCTCCCTGCACAAACCCTTCTGCTACTGCTAGTAAAGATGCCTAGAGCCAGCTCTATTCCCCACAGCCCCCCCGCCGTTCAGCTCTATGCCCCCCCTTCCCCAGTGCCTAGAGACCCTGCTGCTTCCTCACCCGCATGGCGAAGGCCTTCTCGCAGCCAGCGAAGTAGCAATGATATTTCAGCAGCTTCAGATGCGCCGTCCGGATGTGGCTCTCCAGGTTGAAGACGGTGGTGAAAGAGGCCTGGCAGTCAGCTTTGGGGCACAGCCACCTGGGCTTCGGCAGCGCCCGCTTCTGCCAGCTGCGGAAGGACTTGTGCTGCCGCAGGCCGCCTGGCTTCTTGAAGAGCTTCGGACACAGCTGGGACTTGTACTCCGCTGGGCGGGAGAGCACGGGCTGAGCCCCCAGACAGAACCAACACCCCAGCGCCCGGCTGCTTCCCAGGAGTCCTGGGGGATTCATACCCCTGCCCCAGAGAGGATGTGGAAATGGAGGAGTAACTTCTGCGGCATGAGCTGGGAGCGGAGGGGTGGTTGGAGCCGGTCTCTGATGGGACAGGTTCTACTGGCTGGAGGGACACAGGACTAGCCCCAGACCAGCGTAACCAGTATCCGATGGCCCCCACAGAATCCAGAGCCCCAAGGAAGGGCAGAGGCAGCTGTGGAAAGCTCTCAAGAACCCCAGGAGGGCCATCAGTCAGAGGAGGAGGGGCAGGTTATGAAGAATCATAAGTGGTTAGTGTTGGAAGGGACCTCAGGAGGTCCAACCCCCTGCTCAAAGCAGGACCAATCCCCAATTTTTGCACCAGATCCCTAAATGGCCCCCTCAAGGATTGAACTCACAACCCTGGGTTTAGCAGGCCAATGCTCAAACCACTGAGCCCATCTGGAGTACAGCAGGGGCAGGAGAAGAGGTAGGGCAGCCTTAGGACGCAATTGTCTCCATTTGCCTGGGGGAGGCGGCCGATCCCACTCTTCGCTCCAGCCTCCCAAGCAAGGTGGAAGCACCACCAGGGGGGCATGGTGCAAGGATGCCAGGTGTGGCCAGGCTGGCCTGGACTGAAGGTCAGCAGGACACTGGGATTTGACCCACCCCCAGGTCCCCCATCATTTGACTCCACTCTGAGTCACCCCCACAAGCCATTTGTGGCCCCCCCCACCCCTACTGGTGATGCCCAGAGAAAGGGAGACCCTGACTAGGAGAGAAAGGAAGCCCTGGGCTTCTCAAGTCACATTTCCTCCCTAGCCACATCCTGGAGAAGGAAGACCTCTCCACCACCACCTGCTGGGGCTGATAACGTGACCTCCCAGCCTGCCGATATTACAAGCTAGCCATGTTTGATTTGGGATGCCACCCATTCAGTGCTGGCCCAGCGAAATGCAGGCAGACTGGTATCCAGTACCCAGATTGCATGGGAGGGGAGGGGCTCCCCTACACCCCTGCCTTACCGGGGTGCTGCTGTAGGTGTTTCTGACGCTCCGTCCAGGTGGGCAAGACAGTTCCGCAGTCTGGCTTGGGGCACCAGTATCCTAGAAGAGGACACTGAGGGGGATCAGCAGGTGCAGAGATGCTGAACTGGGCTGGAAGGAGCCACCCCAGGACAACAGGAGTCTCCAGGTGGCTGCTGAGCCCGGCCTGCAGTACCGGTGCCCTGTGCTCAGAGCCGCTCTCCAGCGGGGCGCCTCCCACCACGGAGGTGTTGGTTCGCCTCCAGGCACTGGCATGCTGCGTCCGGGGGCGGCTGTGCCAGTGAGAAGCAGGAGCTCCAAAGGATGTCCCCATCCCAGCCTGGGGGCAAAGGTCCACTGCAGATGGGGAGCCAGAGACAGTCAAGTCAGCAGCCTCGGCTTCCCATTCAGCAGGTCCCCAACACTCCCCCACCCACCCTGGGCAAAGCAGCCAGCAAAGTTGCTCACCGGCATGTTTCCTCTGGTGAGCTTTCCTCTTGGCAGCGCTGGCAAACTTCATGGTGCAGCTGGGCTCCTGGCACCTGAACGAAGCAAACACCCCACAAGTGAGGGAAGGGGGTAGGGATTCCCCATGTCTGAAAGGACAGGTCCCAGGCTAATCCAGAGAGACCCAGCCAATGGGTGGCAGTGAATTGGGAAGGGGAGAGGCCAGCATATAGGCTGCACCATGCTGGAGAAGGCCACTGGCCCGGCCAGCTTCAGTACCCAGGCTGGGACCGTGCCCAACACTAGATATGGCAAATCCTCTGCCCTCAGCAGCCATTGGCCAGCCCTCTTGGGAGGTGTTGCTTGAAGCTGCACCGGGGGGGGGGGCTCCCATCTAGTGGCATCAGCCACCCCCAGCCAGAGGGGCACAGGAGACACTCACAAATGGCAGCACACTGGTATGCTCGGTCCAATGGGCCCGGAGGGCCTTCTTTTTCCTGAAGGCACGCTCACAGCCTTGGTAGCTGCACTGGGGGGGGACGAGGGAGGAGAGAGACAAGTCAACCAGACCCAACTCCCACACAGAATATCAGAGTTGGAAGGGACCTCAGGAGGTCATTTCGTCCAACCCCCTGCTCAAAGCAGGACCAAGCCCCAATTTTTGCCCCCAATCCCTAAATGGCCCCTCAAGGATTGGACTCACAACCCTGGGTTTAGCAGGCCAATCCCCCCCACCCCATGATGCGCTTTGATCCCCCTCCCCACCAGCTCCCAGTGCCCCTCACACGTGTCTGGGTGGCTCTGGAAGGGTGTTTGCAGCATGGATGCCCCAGGGGTTAATCAGGGAGCTCCCAGCAGTTTAACAGGAGCCTGTCGACACCTGCGTCAGGGAATCAAACATCTGCTGGTGCCATTTAGAGCATCCCGCACGGGTTTCTCTCTCATGTTAGCCATTTTCGGGCAGTTTGAACTGACCAGCGGCCCTGCAAACACCAACCAGCTCCAGGGCTGCAAGGCCAGGCAGGGTCTGGGAACGCACCTGCAGCTCCAGCCCACGCTGGCTAGGCAGGGGTAACAAACCAGGCTCGGGGTCCCTGTAAGGGCAGAGGGGGAAATCGCTTCGGCGGGCCCATTGTATGGCCTCTGGGGAGGATCATTTCACACTTGTGCCAGGGGCTTTGCCTAGCCCCAGTGCAGGGGCCCTTTGCTAGTCTCCCCCCCCTTCTTGCCATCTTACAAGCACAACCAGAGCCGTGACCTCTGGCGCCCTCATGTGTTCACAGAAGGAACAGACTCCCCCAGCTTCAGGAGACCCAGAATCTGGTCCTGCCCCCCAAGTCCCACTGTTCACAGCTTGGCTAACACTGAGTTGCCCCCCCCGACCCATGCACCAGGAGAGGGGCACTGGGACAATCCCCACCCCCTCTCCCCTAGCCATAGCTCCTGCTGCCAAGGCTCACCCCCCCTCCCCCAAAATCAGGGTCACCGAACAGATGAAGACCCCGCCCCACAGAGGTGCTGCTCCAAGTCACTGTTCAGAGAAGGGGAGAGTCAGCCCAGAGAAGGGACTCTGTTGGCATCACACCCTATGCCTAGGGGGCTATCTGGGCTACCAGAGCGATGGCCCACCAGGCCCCCAGATTGAAAGGGGTGGCCCAGGCATCAGACCCAACAGGAGTCAGAGTCCAAGAGCCCATTCAAGCCACTTGTGACCAGACCCCTATCTGCCCCCCTCCCCCCCCAATCACGCACCAGCTGTTCTGCCTCACCCAACACCCCACCTCGTTAACTCCTTGCCACCAGCAGGCACTACCTGGAAGGACTTCTCCGCACCATGCTGGGCCCTGCAGTGCTTGGGCACGTGGTTCTCAGGCACAAAGGCAGATTTGCAGTCAGCATCCAAGCAGCTGGAGAAACATGGAGACACGGCTGATAGACAGGGGTTAGCGCCAAGCCAAGCCCAATGGGGCCCAGGCTCAGCACAGCCCAGGCCAGTTAGCCAAAGGAAAGGGGTGTGTAGTCAAGAACATAAGGCAGGGACAGGTGCCCGGGGGGGGGGGGGAGGAGAGAAGAGAAGCGGGGGCGTCTGGATACTTGACCTGCCCACAGCCTGGCCAGTTCAGTGGCAGGCAGCACAGCCTAGTGGGTAGGGTACTGGACTGGGAGTCAGGAGACCATGTTCTACTCCCAGCTCTGCCACTAGGCTGCTGTGTGGCCTCATGCAACTCCCTTCCCCTCTGTGTGCCTCAGTTTCCCTCTCCCTTGGTCAGTGGTGTCATTTACACTTATCTCCTCCAGGGCAGGGATTCTCAGTGTGTTCATGCAGCACCTGTCACAATGGGGCCCAGAGCTCAGTTTGGCACCAGGGCAATCCTACCTCCTGCTTCCCTCCCCAGAGGGCTCACCAGCAATGATGGGCTCATTGCTTCCCCGAGAGACCCGCTAGGGACCACCAAGGCCCATTAGACACCTAATGGGGAATTAGGGGGCCTGAGCAACAGGAGGGGGAGAGAGAGAAAGAAGACAAGCCACCTTCCCCAAGCCCCCCACCCTACCTGTTCAGCCTGGCATCACCCTGCTGCAGCTTGGGCATCTGCAGGGAGCGTCTGCGGTGGAATCGCTTGCCACAGCCGTCCTGGTCACCCAGCTGAGCCATCTGCAGAGACATGCCTTTGTGAGGGACTGGCCACCCTCCCAGGCCCCTTCACACTCAGGGATGAGCCATGTACAATAATCAAGGAGGTAGGGGCAGAAGGATTAAAGGAGTCCCAAACAAACAAACCAGCTTGTACGAGACACCCAATGCAGGAGGGCTGGTAGCCAGGCACTCAGTAGTCATGAGGTACATGCTACTCAAGAGTGACACAGCCCAGGCTCACAAAGGGTTAATCAGCATGTCTCCCCCCGAGACAGCTCCACCTTATTAGATCTGTTACTTCTAGGATCAAGAGAAGTAGCCAACCCACCTGCTTTCAACCCCTGCTCAGGCAGGTCAGCCATAGGCTGACACAGGCAGCTCCGGTGCGCCTTTCCCCATGGAGGGCAGGTAACAGGCTCTTTGGAGCCATGGAGCAGGGCTGCCCTCTCCCCACCTTCCTAGAGGGGTGGGGGTCCCCCTCTTACCTCCCCCATGTGCACAGAAAGAGGATTCTGCAGCCTCCTCTCCTTGCTGAGCACAGCATCACACTCCTCATGGGGGCAGGCAAAGAGGTCAGAGGCCAAAACACCCCCCAGGGAGGTGCTGCGTCCCCCAGCCTCCTCCTGCAGCTTTGCCTCAGCCATAGGGGTTGGAGTTTTGCAGCACCCCTCTCTCTACCTGGAATACTCTATAGCCCCTCAGTTTGCTGCTGAGCTGCCATCTTTATACTCTCTGCCTCCCACGGGGGCTGCAGCTGACTCCCATCCCATCAATCAGGGGCTGAGGGGGGGAGCAGGGTTAATGTATCCACATCATTAGTGGAAAGCTGCCAGGGGTGGATCTGGGCTCAGCATCCCCAGGGCATTCTCCCTGCAGTAGGCTTGAAAGCAGAGGGCCTTGGGGGAAGCAGGTGTTTAGGTGGCTTGTTCTTATTAGCTTCAAGGGGAGTTAGGTGCTTTGCCTGCTTTTGAAAACCCCCCTAGGGACCACTCTGCACCTGTAGAAGCCCTAGCCCCAAGCTCCTGTGGGGGGAGAAGGGTCCAAAGCAGCATCCCTCCAAAACTGGCTCTGAGCAGCCCCACTGCTACACATAATCCAAACTCAGCCGGGGATCTAAATGGATCAAACCAATGCCAAGCACCTCCTGGTTCAAGGGGCTGGGGGTTGGATTCTGAGTCAGGAATTCTCAGCTTGGGCCCATTTGTCATGATAAGGCAGCATGGTTAGTGGTGAAGGTGACTCAGGACAGCTGGGTCTAACCCTAGCTTTGCCACTGGCCTGCTGGGTGACCGCAGGCACGTTCCTTCCCTGCTGTGTGCCTCAGTTTCACTCCCCATAAAATGATGCTGACTTCCTTTGTAAAGGGCTCCCAGCTGTTGGCATGACAAGCCCTGCAGGTGTTGGGTAAATCCTTCTTCTGCTGTTTCTCTTCCTGTCCGTTATCCACCTGGATGGCAAGGCCCTGATCCTCAAAGGTATTTAGGTGCCCTACTCCTATGGATTGTTGGGAGTTAGGCACCTAAATACCTTCAAGGATCTCTGCTTGAGCTCTTGGGGGTACAGCTGGGCTCTCCCTGCAGTACCTAGCTCGACAGAGCTCTAGGTGCTACTGTAATATACATCATAGAGAGCAACCTTGGTAAACCTGCCAGCCCTGCACTCGTTTTGCTATGGAGACAGCGCCCTATGGGGAGGCTCGCCTGCCCCTTTGTGACATCAGGCTGGAGGGAGGGGGGGAGGTTGTATCCTGCTCTGCTGGCTGGGGATGAAGGAAGGGGCTGGGAAGCAGGTGCTTGGCAGTGAGATTGGGAGAGGGACAGAGAATCTGATCTACAGCAGCCCAGGGGTTAAAGGGACACATGGATTACAGTGCCCGGCGTTCCTCCCACCCTAGTGATCTGAGCACAGGCCCGGGAGCCAGGAATGCCTGGGTTCCATTCCTGCCTCTGACACTGATGCGCTGAGCGACTTGGGGGCTAGTAACACTGTGCCTCAGTTTCCCCACAGGGCTAGTAACTCTGGTTTGCTGTGGGCATTAATTAGTTCATTAACGGACAGAGGTTTACAGGTGCAAATGGCAGCACAAGTCGTCTTTTGGCATTGAAAACATGCCAGTTATTAGTGGGAGGAGATGGCTCAGGCACTAATGGAATCGGGAGATTATTTGCCGCTGGATCACCAGCGTGGAACCAGGCCCGGACCCTGCAAGCCGCTTCCTGTGGGTGGATTCCCACGCCCACACTCAGCCCTATTCAAGGCGTGATATTCCCAGGGATCCTGCTGTCCACGATCAATATCGGCCTCCAGCAGCTGCTTGGCCATCAGTGAGTTGGGGGCGTGCTGGCCCAGTGGGCCAGCAGGCCCCCCCCCCCCAAAGCTGCCATCACAATAGCCGCTGACTGGCCACCACCTTGGGACCCTCCACAGGGAGCCCCAACTTGGAATGAGCCTTGGGGGCGGGGGCATGCTGCCCCCAAGGCTCGGGGGATGGTGCCCCGGCCCCTTTCACTGATGCCCAGTCCCTTCTGCAGGGCAAGGACATCTTTGCACTCCCAGAGCGGAGCTGGGAATCCCGAGCACGCCACACCGGACCTCGTCACGGCTGGAACCCGGCGTAGTGATACGGCCACCATGGAAGGGAAGCTGGTGAGGAGCTGTTTGGGCCAAGCTGTACAGTGGCCATGGAGCCACAGAGGATCCTCGGAGGGAGGGAGGGAAGCCGGGGAGCCGTTTCCTCACTAGGCCGAAGCCTGAGACTCAGCCACGGGTCGTGAGTCTCCTTTTGTTGGCCCCACTGCGCTGCAGGGCCTGGGGCCAGACTCCTCCAAAGTCCCGTCAGGCACTGTGCTGGCTACTTTCCTGGCGCCAGCTCCATGCACCCACCTCCCAGGATTTCCAGTAAGGCCAGGGTCAGGGGGAAGAGCGGAGGAGCAGCTGGTGCTCGCCCTTGTCCTACAGATGGGGAAACTGAGGAAAAGACCCGCCCAGGCTGAGTCAGCACTGGGGGTGGGGACAGAACCCTTGTCGCGGCTCCCGCTTCTGACCTCGCCCCCGAGCCACCCCGGCATCTCTGATGTCAGAGGGCAAAGGTCGTGGCACTCAGTTCTGAAGCGTGGCCGCCCACGTATCGGAGCGAAGTTCCCAGCTGGCTCCACTGCTAATTCCTCACCCATTCGGTCTCTCCAGAGCCCCCTTCTCCATCGGCTTTGCCCCAGCTGAGGTGGAGTGACCAGGACTAACCAGACGGCTCCAGCTCAGGCCACCCCATCGATCCCCATCTGGGCTTTAGGATATTCTCCAAGCTATTTCCTAGCCTGTTCCTCATGCCCCCTCACATCCTGTTTGCATTCCCAACTGCTGCTGTGTTTCTACTGAGTGATGTCCAGGTCACAGCCCAGCAATGCGTATGAACGGCTCAGACTGGTCCTTCCAAGGCTGAAGGTCACCCAGTCGGCTGGGCATTGCTCTTGCACTGGGTCTCAGATCCTCTAAGTCCCAGCGGACGATGCACGCGTGCACACACGCCCCTTGTGATCAGTCACTGGGGAAAGCAGCCATTTAACACACACACACCTTGTGACACAATTGGGCCTTTAGTTGAGTTTATTTTCCTTGGCGTTCTCCAGGGAAGGCCTTTTCCTTGCATTTCATTGGCCTATCTGTGTAGCTTGGCTGGGTCCTGGAGTCCCCCCTCCACTGCCCCACTGGCCTAGAGAGGTTGGAAGCCCTAATGCTATCTCAGTTAACAGAGGTAAAGTCCTTTGTCTTTGGAGCGATAGATTCACTTGTGACTGGGATGTCTCCAGCCTGTAGCACACACTTGACCCCCTCCTGCTTCTCCAAGCCCCATATCTCCTGATCTGGAGCTCTGCTCTGGTTTGTTCCTCTCCCTCAGGTCGTAGAAGATATCGAAGAGCTGGATATAGAGGAGGACAAGCGCATGGAGATGACATCAACTGACAGCCATGACGACAGCACTGGGGTGCTGGTGCTAAACCTCAGCGGAGAGGAGGAGGAGGAGGCCTCGCCCGGAGCAGGCCAGCCCATGGGGGTAACCATGGTCCCAAAGGCTCCAGGGGAACATCCGCCCTGGGTCCAGAATGACGACAGCCAGGAGCGCCTCGTGAAGCTGATGTGCCACCTCTTGAAGGCCGCCCCAGTGGACGTGGTGTGGACTTCGGGGGAGCAGATCAAAATTGTGGCCGCCGAGCAGAACGCCGGCTCCGACTCGCCCGCCAGCCACCGGGGCTCAGAAGGGGGAGTCCCCGAGGCAAAGGGTGCAGAGCCGGCCACATGCTCGCCATCTGTGACCTCAACCAAAGAGGCCCTGGTGGCCACAGAGGATGAACTGCAAGCCAGCCTGGGGAAGACCCTAGAGCCCAGGATCAGGGACCAGAGTGGCTACAACATCATCAGGTGCCTGATAGGGGGAAAGAGCCCTTCCAGAGGTGAAGATGACACAGAGAGTGGGTATGAGCGGGACCAGGAGGGGGCGACTCCACAGCAGGGCCCAGCCTCACCCGGCGCGGATAAGAAGATTTTGCCTGAGAACGATTTCAATCAGTCGAGAGAGGACGGGGACCTTCTGCTGCAGGAGGGATGGGGCAGCCCGGGAGTTAGAGTGGAGGAAGTGCCACCCTCATCAGGCAGGGCTTCCCGGTCCTTCTCTCCAGAAAGCGTCACCCTCTCCCGGCTGACCGGCTCTCCCAGCTTGGATTCCCCTGGAGCACTGCAGTGCAATCCCTCGCCTGAAACCTCTCATGAGACAAGGACAGAGCCTGGGCCCAGCTGGTGGCTTCATCCCAACCCTGCCTGTCAGCTCTGCAGGGGGGGCCTCAGGATCTTCGGACCCCCTGACTTGAAGGGGCCGGAGGAGGAGCTAAGGCAGAAGCTCAGCCGCTGTCACAAATGGGGAGCAGACGCACATGGGGCCATCTTCTCCAAGGCAAAGAGGCTGTTTTCCAATTACCGCCTCTGCCCTCCTGAGGACTCCAGGGCACAGGCCTTAGCAAGAGAGGTAAGGAAGCCACTACGAAGGCTTTTCGGCATCCGCATTTCGAATACGGCCATCACCATAGAGTCTGGGCACCCTGTACAAACGTAGAGGGACATCATTCTCTCTCTACAAAGAAAACCCCTCCCTCCAGCTGTGTCAGGCCTTGGCTGTTGGCAGTTCTCATCCCTGATCAGTAAGAAGAGGAGGGGAAAGGCTGGATTAGACAGGAATGATGGCCTTGTGGTGTAGGCTGGGGATCTGGATTTAATTCTTGGCTCTGCCCCAAATTCCCTGTATGAGCTTGGCCAAATTGCTCAAGCTCACCCTGTGCCTCAGTTTCCACACTTGTAAAATGGGGATAATAATCCTGCCTTTCATCCACCCTTTGTCTTGTCTATTTAGCTTGTGAGCTCTTCAGGGCAGGCACTTTCTCTTATTCTATTTACGTACTGCGCCCAGCACAATAGGATCCCCAGTCTGTGTGCGTGCGTGGAGGGCTTTTGTGCCTCAGTTTCCCTATCTGTAAAATTGGGATAATAACTCTTCCTTTGTCTGTCTTGTCTGTTTAGGTTGTGAGCTCTTCAGGGCAGAGAATGACTCATAGTCTATGTCTGTGCGGCACCCCGCACAACAGGGCCCCAGTCCCTGCTGCTGCTGCATATAAACAATAATAATTCCCACAGCAGGCTGAAGAAGGGGGACTAGGAATAACATTTAGTGCTTTCACAGCACCGCCCATCCAACAGTCTGTGAGCCCTTTGCAAACCCAAATGGATTTCACCATGGGGTCGGGGCTCAGTGATCACCCCCATTGTATCCAGGGGGAATTCGAGTGCCTCACATAGAAAGTCAGTGATGGGACCAAAAATACAACCTAGAAGTCCCTGCTCTGTCTTGCCGCTTCCAAAGTGAATTAAGCTAAATCCAGAAAAGGCATTTTTACTCCAGAATAGGTGTCCCACATGGGGAGCTATTGCAGAATAGTTATTCTGGAGTAACTATGCCAGTGAATTTCCCCATGTAGACAAGTCCTAAGGAGTCTGACTTTCATAGAGTCCCAGACTTTAAGGCCAGGAGGGACCATTCTGATCATCTAGCCCAACCTCCAGCCTAGCAACAGGCACCTCCCTCAATGCATCACGCTTGTGGTTGAGCTACAGCATAATGATTGAAAAGGCATCCGGTTTTGGTGTGAAGGCTCCAAGTGATGGGGAAACCCCCACATCTCTAGGTAAATTGCTCCAATGGTTAACTCCCCTCATTGTTAAAAATGTCTTCTTTTTAGCCCAAATTTATCAGCTCCCAGAACCGGTTATGCCTCCTCTGCTAAAGAGCCTATTGGATATCTTCTCCCCCTGTAGGTGCTTGAGCCACCTCTTAACCTCCTCTGGGACAAAGTAAAATAGTCTGATCTCCTTTGGGCTTGTGAGCAATTCAGCCTTCCGAGCTGTAATTGTCTTTCCTCTGGGACTTCTAGGCTGTTCTCCAGGAGAGCGCAGCGGCTGCCCTTCAGAAGACGACGCTGGTCAGCACCAGGCCCTCAGCCCACCTGAGATGCACACCCACCCTCCAGGCTATGACCTCTCAGCACAAACATGGTGATTTCTCCTCATCGTTCCTCCAATGGGCTCTCCGGAAGCTGAAGATGTTGGTTAAAAAGACAGCCCCCAAATCCTAGCTGAGACTCTCCTCCCCACAGATGGCTGCCACCTCTATTAAAAGATCAGCCCCACCATTAAAGTGAATGATCTCCTGTAGCATGGGGCTTTGAAGTCTTGGCTGCACTGATCACAGCAGCTGCGACACCAGATGAAACGTTCTCATTGGCTTTTTGCCTCCGGGCCACTAATGGGGGCAGAAGAAATCATTATGACCCACCCTATGCATGGTGCTTCAGGGCGCACAGAGCACCTAAGGGAGCTGAAGAAAAGCTGCTTTCATGTAGGCAACCTGAAATGTTATTGTATTGCCTTAGAAAATAACCTGACTTGGTCAGTGGAAATCTCCTGTGCAGGATGCAGAGGGGTGGAGGAGGAGTTCCCATAAGCTTTCAGCGAGGGGAAGAATCTTTACTCACATATAACTTTCCTCCAACGCTTCAGAGTCGAATGTTTAAAAACCTAACGCGGGGGTGCCGAACTCCCACAGCTTAGGAGTTGTAGGTGCTGATCCTCCTCTGAAAAACAGGCCCAGAGTTTTATGGTCTGGAAAAAAAAAAAATCACTTCCTCCCCAGTCATGTTTCACTGTTGCTCTGTTTCTGTAATACAATAATCTCCATAGTCTTAGCAGACACATGACCTGAATATTTAGTGGCAGGAAAACAGGCAGATTTGAAACACCTTTCCACCATTCTTTCCCTGGTCACCCCCAGGGGCCATCTCTAGCAAGCCCAGAGCAACACCCTGATCTTTGCCGCACCTGCTTAGTCTCTAAAATGAAGGTCTCCGACCCTGAAGCTCCCACAAGAGGCACTCCCATGAGTTTGCAGGATCAGACCTATGTTTATACTGTACACACCTTAATGGCTGTTCTAGTTACCATTAAATCTAGGCCATCAAGTGCTTACAAAATGGATCCAGCCACAGCGGACTGCTGCCCCTAGTAAGTGCTATAAAGAGACCCTGATGCATGTTGTTGTACCAGGCTGCATTGCAGAAAGAGGCAAAGATGGTTAATTATATTTGATCTCACCACACGCCCACTTGGCTTTTCCTAGGGAGAAGTCTTGCTACTTTGAATTCTCAGGGAAAACTCTGGTTGAAACTGAACAGTTGTAGTTTTGAAGACTAGTATTTGGGATGCATAATATGGAAATCAAGGCAGGTGCACTGGGAAGCGCATCCACTGCCTTCCCCAAGAACGTTCCTAGGCCCTTTCACTTTCTTCCCAGGGTAGAGGCGTACCAACCATGCAGTCATTGCAAGGAGGAGCTTGGCTAGCATGTCCCATCTGCTCTGCATGGATAGCAGTGATCTCATGTGTTACTTGGGACTTTGCCCTAGTACCTTTTCCCAGCACTCCCTCCCCCACAGTGAGACAAGGGAAACACCACTCGGTGCCATGTAGCCACTGCCCCCTTTTCCGAGACACTTGGGATTCTACAGTGTGGAACATACAGACTTTCCAGATGCCTGTGAAAGAGCATCGCACACTGCACAGGTCAGAAATATGCAGAGCTTTTAAAAAAGAAAAAAACCCATGAGTACCAGACTGCAGAAGTGGTGTCATCTGACTAGAGAGCTGGGCTGAGCTCAGACCCAGCTGGAATGGGTACTCTCTGCACATTTAAAGCTCCTTACTCAAAACTATACCTCTGATTTCTGTCTCCCTCACACTGCCATGCTTTCAAGGTCAGGTTAAGGTCCAGAGAGAAAAGTTACATCCTTTGCATTGAGCTTTGATCCTAAAGTTCTAACCATGGCAGGCTGGGATTTCTAAAGCTGTATTACTCTCGTGCTCACTAGATGGGCTGCAGACAGCCCTGCCGACTGATGTGCTCCATTTATGCATAAAACAAGCTTCCACGTGCTGCCCTACTTGCTAGGGCCTAGAAGACATGAGAAGAGATTGTCCCTGGCCTCTAATGAGATTGTCAATTGGGGCAATTTGTGATATGGACACTTCTCCATAGATCAAGACCTGATTTCATACGGATCTCTCACCCAGGAGAGGGGGAGGTACTTGCTAAAACTTTCAGGAATGTTTTAAACATTAGGGTACTTGCTTGGACCTTTCTCCCCCCCTCCCACAGAAACCAGCTCTCCCCACCTTTCCTCCCTGTATATGGCCAAGGGGGCCACTGCCCCCCATTGCACCTATAACACCCATCCCCAAACAGGGAGAAGGGAAGGATCAACCCCAAGAAAGTTGCCCTCCTTTGCCATATAGAGCCCTTAATTACGGTGGCTTGTCATTGGCCTGGCCCTCCTTCCCAGGATGCTCTTTCCTCCTCCGCTGCCTCCTCCTGCCCCTCTGGCTTCTCCTCCCCTGCAGCATGAGGGTCCGACAGGAGACAAGCTGCAGCGATAATTAGTGGGGCACTGGATTCCCTGACCAAGCCTCAGGCTGCAGGTTGTCCACTAGCTGCCCTGCACGGACCGTGCCGGTACACTCTAGGTACCCAGAGCATGTTAACATAGCCCAGCAGGGTCTACAAGGGAACTGAATCTTGGGCAGGGAATTCAGCAGCACCCCAACCCCTATAGGCAATTGCTGCAGCTGGCCTCCTATCAGACCCTCACTGCACAGTCTGAGCATGTGCCACGGGGGTGGTGGAAAAAGAACAGCCCCCCATGGCCAGTGCTATATGGGGTGTTCATCGGATCCAAGCAGTGGTGTGACACTTTTGCGTGCGCACACACACACACACAAAATTAGCTTTGCTTGAAGCCTGAATTAGTAATTTTGGAATTACATGTAAACAAGCAGGAAGATTACTGAAAATGTAGGGAGGCATCTCTGCATGTGTGGTCACGTCTGGAGCGGGGTGGTTTTACCTAGATGTGTCCTGCTGCTTACTGAACACCAAATGCTCACAGGCCAAGTGCATGTCTGAAGCAAGCCCATTGCCCCCCGTTCCTCAAGACAATCAGGCCTGTAACACTGTGGGTACAGATTCTTAACACTTTCCTTTTCTGTGTGTCCTTTACCAAAGTTTGGGGCTGTTACAGGTACCCATTCCCAGGCTTTGGACAAGCTGCCTATGTTCAATGAAACGTTTATCCCCTTGGATCATGCCATGGATAATGAATAGCTGCTTCCCCCTGCCCCCCAAACAGGATTTCCACACACAAAATCCCAGACTGACTTTTGCTTATGAAGGTGCCACTTGGCTCTAACTTTTCTACCTGGTCTGAGATATTACACTGCAGGGATGCAACACTTCCATGGAGGGATTGCTCACACGGGTGGTTTCTACTGCATCTTGCCCCCAGGGTGATCTACAAAGACTTCTCCTTTGCTTTCACCCCCAGCTCAATGATCTTCCTCTGGCTGTGAGTCCCTTTGCCCTGCTCCTAATCCAGAACGAGTCGCTGTACGGACAAGATGCTCCCCATAGCGTCCCAACGTTCAGTGCAAGTTATGAGTAACCTGTCCCCAGACCTGTCAAATAGAAAGTCTGTGTCAGAAGTTTTATTGTACCCAGATGGCAAAAACACCTCAGTGCCCTGACACCCTCAACTAAACCCTATGTAGGCCAAAGACTAGGTTTGGATGTGGAACGTTTATTAATTCCCTTTGATGGAGAGCACTATGTACACAGAACAGCCACAGAAGGTTACTTCTTGGTTTCTTCCTCCTTGGAGAGAGTCTTGATGATCTCTTCCTTCTTGGCTTGCAGACGTTCTTCACGGCGCTTGCGAGCTTCCTTGGTCTTGGACCTGCGAGCTTCCGCCTGGTCACTGAAGATGAAAATAGTTTTCATGAACATACATGGCCTCAGCCTCAAGCAACCCAGATAAACCCACCCAGCTTTTACCCCCACCTCTATTTTTCTCCAGCCGTAGGAAGCTGTGGTAGAGAGATGAGGTGTGAACACACATTTCACAAACACCTCATGCACCATCAACTGCTTTACAGCTGCTGTTTATCAGGTTACTAAACCCATACACTTCCTCACTAGCGCTTTGCAATGTAACAGAGACGTAAGTGCAATTTAGTATCTTGTTCAGTAACACCCCACTGGCCTACTAAGTAATATAGGCAGGCATGAATGGGATCTACCCTTGGCCAGGATTGGGACTGAAACAGGTCCTTGGACCAAACGACAGCACATGGGCTTGCTGTTGTCTTTACTCCTTCTCCAAGGACACCACACAGCAAACTTGTTTGTTAGACAGTGCCCTTGAGATCTTGACAAAACTGGTCAGACCAGTGATTGAAGTTAGAAAGGAAAAGTAATGCATGATCTGCCAGAACCCATTTGTCCTTCAATTGTCTTAACTTCGCCTCTTCTTGAGAATGGATCCTTCAATGGCAGGGTCTTTGGACAACATTCTGCAAGGGAACTGGCCCATCCCCTGAAGATGTGTGTTATTTCCTGGGTGTTTAAGTCACACAGAAGGGCAAAGCTTGTATAAAGGGGGCATTCAGGTCATACTTGGATTTATTTACACCATTAAAACCAAGTCATTAATATCCAGATCTGTCAACATTTATGAAGTATTATTTTGTATTCCACTGAGCCTTAGGCCTTGTCTACGTTAGAAAGTTTTGCTGCTCTAACCATACTGGTATAGTAGAACACTCCTAATGTGAATGCAGTTATACTGATATAAGAGGGCTTATACTGTTCTAAGTTAAGATAGTTTGCACCCATACCAAACCTTAAACCAGTATAGCTATAGGAGTAAATAATCCCCTAATTGACAGAGCTATAGCAACATAACTATGACCAGGCTTGGATAGTGAAGAGATGTTAGTGAATTTCGTTTGTTTCCAGTCAGTTTCACTTTACAGGATGCCACAATAAGAGAATCAATGTCTTTGTAACCCAAGTGCTGAAAGCTCATGGAATCACTTGAACTAGTACCGAGCACTTTTAAAAGCTCACTTGTGCAAAACTTAAGTCTCGGACCTGTACTGAGCTCTAAATTGCTTTAATAATCAAACACTTACGCCAGGAGCTTCTTGCGAGCCTTGTCTGCTTTGAGTTTGTGAATGTGCTCCATCAGAATCCGCTTGTTCTTGAACACGTTACCCTTGACCTTCAGATACAGGCTGTGATACCTAACAAAAGAGAAGGGACCAGGTGAGGTGAGAGAGCTCACTGTGTTGCAGGAAGCAACACTCATTTGTTTGATGGTGCAAAAGAGGAAATACGAACTGTGCAGCTTCCAAGACATCTTGAGTGACTCAAGATAAACAGCAGTTGTGTCTTGTCTGCAGTGGACCACCCAGTGACCTTTGTGTCCCAGAGTTTTAAACTTAATTTAACCATTCTTCAGCATCTTAATCTACCACCACACACGACTCCCTTGTCCTGCCCTCCAGTTTCAGCAGAGGAGCTAGTCCTGAGAAGCACTCGCTAACATCAAGATCATTCTGCAGCAGCTTTCCAGTGCCCTTATCCACTGCAAGGGATTTATCATTTACGTAAAAGGTGTGTTTAATCTCTCTTAGCTTTCCCCTTTGGCATCTGTTGGTTCAGGTCTAAGGTTACAGAGCCTGCTGCAAAAGCCTTGAAGAGCAGAGGCTGGTGTATCCAGGCGGATGGGGACCCTCTTCCCCACCCACCCACACCCACCAGCAAAGCAGCAGCAAGGCAGGATTCATTTGGCTCTCAGACTTACATATGGCGGTCGATCTTCTTGGACTCCCTGTATCTGCGAAGCAGACGTCTCAGAATTCTCATTCTCCTCATCCAGGTCACCTTCTCGGG